TATATATATATATATATATTCATTTCGTAGCGTGGATGATAACGCAGCCGCCTTAGAAATGCTTTCAACCTCTTAATAACTTTGTAACTTAAAGAGGTTACAACATTGCATGCAAATCAGATAAAACTGCTTTGCTTGGTATACACGGCATGACAAAAGCAGAGATACGGTCGTAATCTAATTTGTAATTCTAATGCTCTATTATGTATTAGTTCAATCCTTAGATGGTATCGTGCTAGTTTTTACACGTGGCAAGATGTGATTCTTCAAACATGAAACGTTGTTGATATACGGTTACGAGGATTGTTGATCTCTCGATCAAAGTCCAAAGATTGTCATGTGAAACTGTACAATCCTGTGAGTTTGAAAGTTACCCATAATTTTTTATTTTTAGCCGTTAGATTTATTTTAAAAATTATTTGTTATGTATTTTTTTTCAATCTAATCTAATTTTAATTAGATTTAATAATTTTTTTTTTTTTTAAAAAAAAACCTTACTACCTGCCAGAGAAACTTTTTAATATATTTCTTTTTTGCTAGTTAAAAAAAATATTAAGGCAAATGTGGTCAAAAAAGTATACGATGACTTTCGACAGAATTCAATTATATCTCGAAGTCACATTGAAAAAGAATGTCAGCTATCAAAGTTATTATGGCCAAGACAAGGAGAGGATTGAAATAATAAAAAAATATTGGCTGTTTTGGCCTCTAAAACTCGTAGGGAGAGTTTTGCACTAACACCCTCTAACAACCAAAAAAAAAAAAAAAATCCCAATTAGTATTCTCCTCCCAAAAAAAAAATATTTGGCATCCCATGACCAAAATCCTATCTGTCAATCACAGAATCAATTGGGTCTGAGGTAACCGTAGTCCTAAGTCCTGCAACAGCAAACATTCATAGTTGTTACTATTTAGCAATAAAAGCTATTTGGCTTGAGCAATATATCCCAAATATTCAACAAAGAAAGACAAGAAAAAAGCAAATAATAAACAGGATGCCCAAGTAAGTAATTATGCATATAACTTTACATGTCCCGGTCTTTCATGCTCCATTTTGGCTAAACACAGTAATGTTAAATTAATGCGTCATGTCAAATTTAATATTTTTTTCACTTTTAAAAAAAAAATTATTAGTGTCCTCACGTCTCCACTTAACGCTTATAGAATGAATTAACCGGTCTTATAAGTGCAATAATTAAAGACTTAAACCAACTTTTTCAATCGTTCACGACGTAGGATTCACTTGTCCACCACTTTTAGGCTGAAATTCTTTCGTGAGGATGTGGAGATTTGAACCAGGAGTTGCAAATGAGGGAGACTTAAGGCAAGCGTTCTTACCATCATACTACTACCACCGATAGTCAAATTTTAATATTTGAATTCAAATGAAAAAACTCTACAATGTAGTGTTATTTTTATATTAAATTTAGCATATGCCAAGTAATTATGTTATACTTGTGATAAATTTGACACTAAGTATAACATATGAAAAATTTTAGCATTAAATTGCTATTTATTTTGATCTCTTCATTTAATCGTTATCACTTAAAGCATATATTTATAATACCATAATTATTTTAAACCTAAAAGTTCACTTTTACAACTTTCAAAACTTATAACTTAGGTCTCGTTCAGTTCGCCGATTCAAGTTTTCAATTCGAGTTGAGACGTGATTTTATGTGAGAACTTTTAACTGTAACAAAAATGTTAAATGTGACTTTTTGTGAGAGCTTTTAACTGTAGCAAAATTAGAATTGAAAACTTAAATTGGTGAAATGAACGAGACCTTAATAATAGAAGCTAGATTGTAAAATATTTGAAATAGTATTATATATTGGAATATAAAATAAGCATTTTCACACTTTTAGGCTCCGTTTGGTTCATATACTTCAACCCATAAATTTAATTTTGTTACAGTATTTTTCATCTCAAATGAATTTGAATCAAAAATTTCTTTTGTCGCAAAATTTTTACAAATAAATCAAAATTACTGACTTTGACGCGTGAACAAAATGGATCCTTAATACTAAACATAGTATTGATATTAGCATTTGTATTGGAGGTAGTCAAATAATCATCATAAGTCCATAATTCTTCTAGGGTAGGACTTAGGACTAACCTTTTTAGTTTTTTTATCTCGGCACATTTCACTTCCGCAAGAACAACTAAATGCTTCTATAGGATGATCTATGTCATCAAAGTCAATTCCATAGTCCTGTAAAGAATGTTAACCAATCATCCCCCAAAACAAATATCAGACTCATGTATATAATCCCATTAAAAGGGGAACTTGTACAAGAGGAACTGTCCTTTTTCTCTGAATGATAAATTTTTCAACCATGTAATCTATGAGTGTCCACATTAAAAATTTATAATGCACTACAAAACTATATACAATCATAGATCAAAATGTTAAAAAATTAATCCAACAAAAAAATAACAATTCCTAGAGTAAAAATTTTCGAAAAGAAATGAAAGAAATAAAGATTAATTTTAAAAATGTCCCTCTGAATCTTATATCCTAATTCAACATGCCCCTTAAATTTTAAAAAGAATTCATTTCACCTCTTAAACTATATAAAATGGTTCAATGCACCCTTGTAATATTAAAAACGTCCTCCGACCTATTATTTTTTGTCAACTTGTCTTTTGTCCTCTTAAAAAATAAAGAGTAGGTTAAAATTATAAATGGTGTCATGTCACCATTTTATTAGTATTATAGATGAATGAGGAATTTTGAATTATAACATATAGTTCAGGAGACGAGGTAAGTCTTTTTTTTTTTTTTTAATTTAAGAGATATGTTGAAGTAGGATATATAATTTAAGAGGTATTTATAAAATTAACTCGAAAAATAAATTCTGTCAAATCCACCTACCCATGTCAGTTCCTCCAAAGCAGCCACTTCCCTAGCGGTAAAAAAGGCAAGCTGCATATAGGTGACAAGCCAGCTTAGAAGTGCCTCGTCATTGATAAATAATAAAAGCATAAGTTTACGCTAAATAATGAGAAGGTCTAGTAAACTTGGCATATATATTTATTGTTGGGATCCTCTCAGTTATGTTAATATATTAGGAGGTCAGGTTTTTTACATGTTAGATTTACATAAATTTATGTAAAAATTATAAAGTATACAAATTTAACGGTTAAAAAAATCTAATTTACCGGTATTTTTTAACTTTTATCGAAAAAAAAAATTTAACCTACTAGTATGTCAAATGTATTAGAAAATCTACCTTTATTGTTTGAAGCCATGACGGATCTCCTTTTGTTTTATACTTGAGAAGATCCCTACTCTTTAACTGTTTACTAGAGATGACTAATTGCGTGTAAGCAGATAAATTTTTTTACAATAATAGAGCGTTTTTCATCTTTATACCTCTAGATTTCAAATTTATACACAATTCTTACCTTTTCTTGATCAATTGACTACAAAAAAGACCTAAATGCTCGGACAAGGAAAAAAAAAAGGAAGAAGAAGAAAAAAGAAAAAACTAAAAATTCCAAAGTGGGAAGAATACTTAAGTCTTTTTATAGTCAAAATCAACATTGAGCGGAAAAAGTAAAGATTTAACATGAGTTCAAAATGTGAAGGTATAAATGTGATAAAATTAAAATATAATGTATTGTTTTTTTGATACTTCAAAATATAAGATATAAAAATGAAAAAAATAAAAAACATGAAAAGAACAAAAGTAGTTAATTTCACACACTAAAATGAAGTCAACGAAGCATGGATTAGACTCCAGCAACTAAAATATTGTTCATAAGCCAACAGTTACAAATTTGAAAAGATAAATTTATAAACATTTTACTGTTGGTACATGGATGATTTCCAATAGCGTATACTCGGACTATCAGAAAATGGACACTCTTGAGATCAACCTCTCTTCTCAGATAAAAAAACAAATGTAAAATGTATGCTGAAATAGTTGGAATAAAGCAAGGCAAATCCATACATGGTAATAATGGCGATCAGGTGTCTCCACTTCCACAGGAATATCAACCAAGTTTGCATCAAAGCATCTGCAGTGATTAAGAGGAACGAAAAAAAAAATGTAAATAAGAGAATGCGAACCAAACCAATATGCGAGGTTCTCTCAATTTAGTGTGTTAATGCCAAAAGTTAACATTTCCGTAAGAAAGTCACTCTCCAATGCAGTAGTATTTTCGGTACTAAATTTAACATTCAATTTGACACTAAATATACCATATGCCAAATTTTAGTATTTAATTGCTATTAGACCATCTTCAATGCAAATACTAATACTAATAGTATATTTAACATCAAAAAATATGATATGTTATTTATTTATTTTTTCTCCAATGTAAATAATGCTAATGCCAATGGTATGTTTAACATAAAAAAAATATGATATGGTATGTTATTTTTTTTCTCTAATATATAATGTTATTTGAAATGTTAAATCTACATTTTTTTCATAGTCATAGCTTTGAAAGTTGTAAAAGTAAACTTTTATTTTTAAAATAATTAGAAAATGCAAAAGTTACAATGATTACATGAAAAAGTAAACACTTCAACTAATAGCAATCAAATACTAAATTTTTCATATGCTATATTTGGTGAGAAATTTGCCAAAAAGTATAACATATGAGAAATTTAACACAATAAATAGTATTACATTGAAGAATATTTTTTTTTACTCAAATGTTAAATTTGTAACTGACACATCAATTAAAGTATTGCATTAAAGATGCTCTTAGTTGATGTATTCAATTTTTTATTTAATCATTACAAAATGTCATCTTTAAATTACTTAAAAATAAAAATTTACTTTTACAAGTTTCAAAACTTATTAATTATGACAAAAAGTAGATATAGAATTTGAAATGGCATTATACATTTGAGTATAAAATATAGAGTAAATTGCATTGTTGCAACCCAAACTATCCAATTTTTGCGTAATCAACCCCAAACTTTCAATTTTGACAAATTGCACACAGAACTTTAAAATCAGATGCAATTGACACTATCAAATTGACCGTTTGAGATACGAGATTTATACGTAACATAGTTTGAAAGTGACGATCTTTACCTTTCATATGCAAATTGTGTGTTTAAACTGTCGATTTGATAACATGTATTACCTATTAACCTCAATTGCAACTGATTTAAAAGTTTGGGGTGCAATTAGCCAAAATTAAGAGTTTGGGGTGCATTATGCAAAATGCAAATAGATTGGGGTGCAACGGCGCAATTTAGTTTAAAATATAATAGCATTGGTATTTGCATTTACATGGGAGATCGTCTAACATTTCTAAACCTAAAAGTTTTAGGTTTTCTTTCTTCTATGTCAACAATGAAGAGGACAAGCATTTGCCAACTCACATGCATGCACAATAGAATTCATCAATTCCCAGCAATGAAGCCATAAAATTGATAAGAATTAAGTATTGCATGTAAAACAAAATGTTGTTTACAAGTCCGGACAGAAACTTTACCTATGGTTTATAAATCTGGCTACATTTCCATTAAATGTGGCATCCAAACAAAGTGCCTCCTCATCCCTTAAAATTCCTTCAGAGCTCCAATCTGCATCCAGTGTTACTGGATACGTATGCCTCTCTTTGCTTATTCCCATATTGCGGTCGTACAACTCCGTATTGGTTAATACTTCTCCTACGTATTCACATACGAATGTTCCCTTAGGCAAGGCCTCAAGTGGTCTTAGACCCCAGCCTTTTCTTTCACGAGTCAAGAACACCTGAAGCATAACCACGATTTACTCGATTTCCAGACATACTTAAGACTTAAGAGAACCAACAAAACAACAAGAACATAAACAAGGAATTCTAAGTCTCGTTTTTTTGCTATTGATTAGAAAATTAATTAAATCGGTAGCAAAAACATACAGGACTATTTGGCATAGCTTTTACGTGTGCTTTTAGGTAGTAAAATAAGAGAAATAAAAGCTATGGCTTTCTTGTTATTGTTTGGAATAGGAACCATGTTTCTAAAAGAGATTAATATAACAAACATAGTTTTCAAATTTAGGGATAAGCAATGAAATTTCCGAATTAGGTAGACAAAATTTCAAAATTCTTATTGAGCTCCCTTGAGAAGCCACATTTTGTGGCTTGTTAAAGCTCTTTTGGAAGGTTATTCATATAGTCATAAGCAGTTTTTTGACCCAGGAAGCTATAAGATGCTTTGTAGATAGCCATGCCAAATAGGTCCGTTATAAGAAGCTTAGGCTGAAACTGACCTGCAATTTGCATGAAATGCCCCGTTGGACTACTCTGTTTCCACATTGCATGTCACATCCACATTTTCTCCAGCATTCTTTAATAAACTTCCTGATCAGGTGTCCCTTGCATTGCTCTGGAGAGCCGTCATTCTTAGCCTTCTCAAGTGGGCAGTCTTTACAGTAAACAAAATGGTCCTGCTGCGGCTCATATTTAATAGCCATGCAAGCTCTTAAAAAATCTTCTTTTAAAAGGCCTTGTGGTGTGTAGGCAAACTCTCCGCCAGTTTCACAGGCACAGGCACAAGTTATTGATGATGAAAGACAATCTCCGGAACAACTTGAGCAGCAGTCGTCATCCACAATCCGGGCTAGAGAAATATTTATATTAGCATTTTGATATATTACATTCTGGGGAATGTAATTAAACTTTGGAAGAGTTTCATTGCCAATATCATCTACTAATGATATTTTCACCTTTTCTGTCCCTTTTGTAATGTCATTGAGAAAATTGAATGGCCTTTTCTCATCATAAGTAACAGTATGTGAATCTGTATACTCAGAACTACTTGACCCTTTGCCTTTTATGCCTGTTGCACCAAAACCAATGTTAAGAGGTCGCTTCTTTTGTTCTGCAACATGAAGGGCATGGCCATCACCGGTTTCTTTAATCACTTCAGAAGGATGGTTAATTGCGAAAGATCTATCAGTAGAGTTGGTACCCATCTTCAAATAACTTTCACACAAATCTTTCAATAGCTTCTTCACTGAAAACTGGTCACCTACTATGTTGTATGATCTGACATATTTATTCTCTACGAATTTCAGAACTTCACCGAATTTTGGCTTCTGAAAGTTTGGCTGTCCAAGAGCAGAATCCCAGTCCAACAAGATTTTCACTTCTCCCATAGATGAAGAAGCAATATTTAAGGTAGTCTTAATGATTCTGCTGTGATTGCTTGCAGAAGAATCATCTTTGCTCTTCTTAGACGTCAAACTTTTAGACAGACCAGGACTAACTAAAAAAGACAAAGCAAGAAAGTGAGTTATAACTTGGTTACCAATACTCGAAACAAATGCAAAGGGAAGTGCAATGTCATGGACATGTAAGCTTTCTTGAGTACTGGAGTTACCATTTCTAATGCATCTACTAGCAAATTCCCCCACTGGGAAAAGAATAAAAACAAATAAAAATAGTACACATAGGAAAGAATAACTAGACAACATGAGTGTCTAATTGATCATGGAGCATGCTAAAAATTTAGAAAATACCTGGATGGACCGCTAAAACGGGTTTTTTAGAAAGTGCCAAGTCGTTAACCTGCTTCTCACTGCTGCTTAACTTTGTCAACCCTTTCTTGTGAACTTCACTTGGTACACTAGGCTCATTCATTGGTCCGGCAGGTAATTCTCTCAAAGACTTCGTTTTTTTATCTCCTCGGAGCACTAGAGCTTTAGATTCTAATCTACTACCGCTTGAACATGGTTTAGAAGACTTCATGATTCCTTGCCTCGGAGTCGTTAAGGGGAGTACCCTAACTTCTGAATCCGACTCTTCGCTCGGGTCGGCCAACGTAGGAGAAGCACGTACTTCTTTTCCGGCCAAATTCTGTCTTTTAACCGGTCTTCCAGACTCATCATGCCCTTCATAGCGTCTACTTTTATCCTCCTTTCCCTGTAAAGGGAAGGCACACACAGACATCAACCAAACTAATGAACAAGGTTTGGTTTTTTGACAAGGGATGGATATAGATACTACAAGATTAATCCACATCAGTAAAAATTTGACAAGTGGGTGGTACAGTTTTCATCCAAATTTGGGTTTTGATAGAAATGCCAAGAATGTAGAACGATTTATCAAAAATGCTGTATAAGCCAACAATACTTTCAATAGAATTTGAAACCAACCCAAACACAAGCATATGAATAAAAAGTATGTCACGGATAAGAATTTCCTTTCTTCTTCTTCTTCTTATTTTTGGTTTTTGGCATGGTTAAAAAATATAGAAATTACAGAGGAAAGGCAAAGGAATAACCATAGTTTCCTTGTGATCAAAATATGCATCAAGAAGGGTTCTGTAGTTGCCTTCTTCAATGAGTGTCCAATTTTTATCATATACTCTCAACAGATTCTTCAAAATTGGTTTCACCTCTTCATCTGGAATTCCTAAAGCCCTCGTTACATTCAAGGCCTTCGTTACAGGGTCATCAACCATATTTTAAAGAACAAAAGAATATGGTTCCTGCAAAAATTTTGGGTTGTCAGTTGAGCATTCTCCAAATAAAAATGTGGGAGCAAATCCCCCGTTGTTAATTAGTTCATTAACAGAAGAAAAGTTACATCTTTTGGATTCATTAAAGAGTGGAAACTTTCTACGCTGATTTATCTTCCTATATTTTCCCAGAAATAATCCAAAGTGTATACTAAAATAAGAAAATAAAAATAAACTACACTTGCACATTCAAGAAGTTTGAATCAAACCTTGTGTCTAAACTAAAATAACACGCAATTCAGGATAAAACATCCTCTTCATGCAATATATATCAATAAAAAGACATAAAAAATGACTTCTTTTTATGAAGCCCTATGAACATTAGAACTGTAGAACTTATTTTCAAAATGGCAAAGCGCAAAGAGCTACAAAAAGGGGGGGGGAAATCAATCAATTATCATCGACAAATGAGGCCAAATGTGCCTTTAGATGACTGACGAAGTCAAGAAAATCGTGTAAAATTATCTCGCTTTAATCCTCATTTACTTCCAGTCAATGCATGTCAAGTACGGAATGAAACGGAAACACTAAAACAAAAATGGAAAAACTCTGTTTGGAAGCCGAGAAAAAGAAAACGAAATCGCAGCTGAAGAAAATAAAGGGAAATATTTCACACAAAAGAAAATGACAGTACACGTGTTCCCTTAATTGCTTGTACAGCAAGCATTTTCCATGACCATGAAAAGAAAACCCCAAAAAAATCGCAATACTAACAGACACTGTTTGGTTGCTGAGAAAACGTAGGAAAAAAAGACTCGATCGTTTTTTTTTTTCAATCGAAAGAGAATAGGAGCACGAAACGAAAGTCGAAAAAACTCACAGTACCTGAAAAATCGTGGAATCGTTTTTCTTTATTCACATTTTATTTTTTTTTTCATACTAAATGAAAATTAAAAAGCAAAAAAAAAAACAAAACAGAGAGAGAAAAAGAAAGTATAAATGGACTCGGAGAGAAAAGACGTACACTGAGAACTCCAAACGACGCAGTGAAGAAAAATGGGGAAGAAGGAGAAGGAGAATATCACGTGAGAAGCACGTGACCGATGATTTTCTTCCTTATTCTTCAATTTCTATATCTTTAATATTAATAAGCCTTCTTTACCGAAGTTGCGGAACCGGAGCAACACAGTGAGAAGAAGAAGAAGAAGAAGAAGAAAGACTTTGACCCCTCCACACAAAAAAAAAAGATTGTATGGAAATGGATTCTTTTTTCTCTGAAAATGGATTAATTTCCTAAATGTCCTTAAATTTTATATTATTATTTCAACATGCCCTCAAATTATTTTGTCCTGTGCAGTATAAAAAGTTACACAAAACACTCCATAAACATTCTCTAAATTATTTATTTTGTACCAATTTATCTTGAATCTTTTGAAAAAAGGGGAAAATTGATATAAAAATAATACTTTTAATAGATAAGTTGAACTAAAATTAATAATTTGAGGGATATTTATATAAAAATAAAAATGTAAAAATTTGAAGGTATTTATAAACTCTTTTCTATTTAAATCGGAAACAGAGTTTGAGAAGCATTTATGAAATTAATGATACAAATATTAATATTGTGTATTAGAAACTTTGGATTGGCCGCCCACGACCGTCCGAAAAAATTAATTTTGAGCCTGACATCTAAGCCTAAGAAGGCTCATGGACCGGCCACGAGCCTGGTTTTGGCTGCCCGAGCCCGCCTGAATGGCCTAAAACATATATTTTTAATTTTATTTTTTAAGTTTTATAATAATGTATATATATATTATATATAATATACTATTATTTAGTAATTATATTTGTATATAAATAATTATTAAGTTATTTTGTATTAAAATTATATAAAAATTAAAATCAACACACATTATTAACACAATTTAATATATTAATTTTGTATATTAATTTTTAAATTTATAATTAATTTGTGATAGTTTTTAGAAAATTGTGAGAGAGATTTGAGAGATTGAGAGAGTTTGGATAAGGAAAATGTGTGGGAGATATGGAATATTTATAAATAAATGTTTTGGTTAAAAAATTAATTTTTTTCCCCATATTTGGATCTAACAGTCATTTTTTGTCTCGGCAAGTCGGGTTCGAACCGAAAATTAGGCAATGGTAAAAAAAAAAAAAAAAAAAAAAAACCTTGGAATCGGGCTTTTGAGCGGCGGGTCAGGTCATGCGTCAACGTTAAAAAACTAGCCGTTAATCGGGCTTCAGGCTGGAGGGAAAAAAATTTCGACGATCAGGGGCGGGCTTCGACAATTCTGACTTTTCTCGAACGACCCGAGCCTGAAAACCTGCTTGGACAGGTGGCCATATAGACATGTCCGTCGAACCTAAAAAATTCAAACTTCAAGTAGGTCCGTCGGCTCAAAGTTCCAGTACCACGGTGACAGCGGATAAGTTGTTTTTTTCATCTGCAATCGTATGGTGATCGTTTTCGATCTTTTCTGGTATTCGTAATCGTGATTTGTTAGCGGGCATGAAGGTTTTGGACTTGCGTGCAGTGAGCGGTTAATCCATCAGCCAAGGGAACGTGGGGATCTCCACGTATCAACTGAATTGCGGCGAGAGATTTTGTGGGGTAGACAAGTGGACCCCACACCTAGTAGCCACAATGGTTGAATTGGATTCATAATTACTTTCTCCAAAAACAGGGGGTAAATTTCTGCATGGCTTTTTTTTTTTTAATGAAATTACGAAGGTGAGAAAAAATAAATTTTTATTTCATATTTTTTCTTATAAAAATTTAAAATTAATTTTTATAAAATTTAATTTTTAATTTAAATTCTCAACTCGAATGAGTGAAAAAAAATGAGGCTTATAAAATTTAAAAAGAAAAAAAGACAACAAATTGTGAATGTTCTAGGAACTTGCATGTCGAGAAAATAAAGTGGCATTCCCATTTTCTAAATTTAGAACAAGAAATTTACTTTTTATTTCCTAAAAAAATGGTGCAAACATTGGACAGAGTGGGTTTCTCGTGAGTTCTACCGTAGGATCTAATTGATCAACGGTTGTTAAAAGAGTTGCATAAATTACAACTGTATTCAGCATGCCTTTCAAAAGAATAATTGGAATCTTATTGGTGATTCCTATTATGCCTTAAAATACCAAATTAAAAATGAAGCTTTCGAGTTTCATGAATTTATTTCCTTACTAAAGGTTTAACAGTGTGCATGTAATTTTGTACCTTATCAGAAAAATTCTAAGAGTTATACTATATACGAAATTTTGATGAATTTTACTCTTTTAGAGTTTTAATTTTATTTTTATTTTCCTATACAAATTTTCACGCATAAACTTATTAACTACACAATTCGAATATGCTTCACATGTGGACCAATACACCTTTCACAAAAAATCAATATTATTTTACAAAAATAAACAAAGAAATCAACATAAAGGAAAATAGAAATTGTTGACAGTGTTTTTCCAACAACGCGTGATTTACTCTCCAAAGACACTCACGGTTTAATGAATGATTAAAACTGAAAAATAACGCAAATGAGACGGTATTTTTATAGTGGTTCGGCAATAACTCTTTGCCTAATCCACTTATGAATGCACTAATATCTTCTTTGATTACAAGCTCTCTTAGAGTAATGAAATAGTGCGTAACCTTTTTCTCAGTTTTCTTGGCTCTATTTATAGGCCTTTACATGTGATTACTCCTTCGCCGTTCCCAAGGAGGAAGCCACTTCCGTCCCTCGATTTACAGGCGGGTAGGTGAGTTTTTATGATGACAACCTCAGAAAATGCGGCTGATCCCTCTCATCTGCCGCCTGATTTCCTGACTCCTGCAGTAGCAGTTTGATCAATACTTCCTTCTCCGAGTTGATAAGACCATTGATGGATTTGACTGGACGTGCTGTCTCGACGCAGTGGCCTCCAGAAGTCGAGTCATGGTGCTCAACGCATCTCGCCACGTGTGGTCTCTCGACGTAAAGGTCACTTCAGCTACAGTCTGCTCCCTCGACGCCAGCGACCGATTCTTGGCGGGGAGTGCTTGGCGCCTGTCGTTCGATAGAGTGGTCGATTCCTCGACCATGGTGTAACAGAAATGTTTAGTAAAATAGTTAACATAATTAAAATAGTTAGTTTTTCATTTCACTATTCCAAAAATATTTCAAAAGAAATTGCTAAAACGTTATTGATTCACGAAGCAAAAAAGTCTGTTTTTTGCATAAAGAACCCAACAGTAAGGGCAAACAAGCAAACCAAACAAAGACATCATAAGAAGGAAAAGCCTGATTAGCGGAACAATGGACAATATGATTCTTATTATAAGAAACGTAACAAATATCACCATTACGTACCACAGAAACACTTTCTTTGATGTCTTTGACGATATAAGCTTTTAGAGCTCATTAATTCGGACATCAAATAACTTGAACAACATTAAGAGCATCCGATAGCCAATGGAGGGCAATCTTGGAATGAAGATATTAAAGGAGTTTAGCATTATTAATACTAAGATTATGTCCCATTCATTTCGACAATTCGAGTTTAAAATTCGAGTTTTACAAAGTTCTCAGAAACAGTTACATCTAATTTTTTTGTTACGGTAAAAAATTCTCACATAAAATCACATCTTAACTTAAATTAAAAACTTAAATCAGCGAAATAAATGGGGTTTGAGCATTGACTGGATGTAATTCAAAATGGCTATACACTGGGCTAATATTAGGCTTTTCCTTGAGAAACTTCTGGACATGTATAACTGATATTTAACTTTGAGAGTCGGCACCCTTAACTATTTTGTACGCCAAAGCATGCGACTTGTTTTGTATTTTTCATTCGTACAACATTATCCACCATGTTCTTCACGAGCATGCCTTCCCCATATCCACCTACAACTTTTGAATTGGCCATGTGTTTTGGTAAATTTACAAACGTCCAAAATGAAGCACTTATAATTCATATATAGACAACAGATGTGGGCATTAAACAGGTGTCAGCAGAAGGAGACTAAGGCAGAATTGTTAGCTTTAATCCGTAAATATGGCTTTAACATTATATTCACAAATCTAGAAATCATCACGCAAAATTATTAAGAAAAATAGACGAGAACAAATATTTGTCTCCATTAGTACAACTTTAATTTTCAATAAAAATTACCACTTTAATATGTTCTTAGGGTTATCACCTTCATCAGTCAAATCATCATAGTTTTAATGGGGTGTTCTCTCTTTGTATGAGAAAAAGAGAAAACGGCTGAATGATTTGACGTATTAAGAACTATAACCTATAAATCCTTGTATAATTATCTAATAGACTCCCATTAAACCTTATTGGATAAGCATAAGGTATCAACTCATTTATCTCATATCCAATTAGAAGTCTTATTGGACTTTCCTAAACATGCCACTTTATTAAGCGCATTTATTAAATAGCATAATATAAGAGATAAGGAAGGAAATAGTATAATTAGTAAAGTAATTAGTAAATTATAGCATATTTTTTAAAAATAAAAAATTATAGTATAATTTGATATTTTAAGTTTTAAACATTATTAAAAACCCAAAAATATCTTTAAATATCTTTTTCCACCTCACTCATTCCCCCTTAAACATCTATTTTTAAAAAAATAGTAAATTATAGCATATTTTTTTTAAATAGGTAAATTATAGTCAAGTCCACCATGGTCGGGACCAGCGGATGGCTCTGGCGACAAAAGACCATTTTCTACAAACCTTGACTGTTTTTCAACAACCAGTGACTATTTTTCGGTGACCATTTAACACTGTATTTACTGATAAATATCGTATTTACCATTTAATACTGTATTTACTAGTACATACCATATTTACCTGAAAAACCAATCACTAACTCCCGCGATAGTTTAACACTGTTTTTACAGGTAAATATTGTATTTACCAATAAATACCGTATTTACTAATAGATATCATATTTACCCAAAAATTCAACCACCGATTTTGGTGACCATTTAACACTGTATTTACTAATAAATATTGTATTTACTAGTAAATATCATATTTATCCATAAATTCAGGCACCAATTTTGACGACCGTTTAACACTGTATTTACTAATAAATACCGTATTTACGAGTAAATAACATATTTATCTAAAAATTCGACCACTAACTCCAGCGACCGTTTAACACTGTATTTACTGATAAATACAGTATTTACTAATAAATATCATATTTATCTGAAGATCTCGCCACCGACTCCAGTGGCTATTAAACACTGTATTTACTGATAAATACTATATTTACCGATAAATAGAGTAGATTCTAAATTGTAACTACTAAAATATTTACATATAAATATAATATTTACCATATTCAAAATTATAGTTACTAAAGTATTTAAAGGTATTACAATATTTACTAGATGCAAACTTATAACTACTAAAATATTTACTATCTACTGATAAATACAGTATTTACTATATTTAAAATTAAAATTATTAAAATATTTACTGTATTTTTTTCATATTTAAACTTACAACTACTACATTATTTTTAAATATACAGTACTTATTATATTTAATCTTCTAACTGTTAAAGTATTTACTAATAATTACAGTATTTATCAGATTTCAAACACAAACACAGACAAATCCAGAACAAAATTATTCTCAAATCACAATCACAAACTCATATGTAAAACAAACATGGCAGCACGAAGCCAAAAACGGAAACATGGGACCACCTCTGCCTGCAATGATAGCTGCCATCGACGGCTTCACTCTGCACTTGAAAATCGTGCGACGGTTTGCGATCTCCAAACACGGCTCTAATCACCGACGAGGACGATCTCCGGTGAGCTCCTTCAGCATCGATGATGCAAACCTCCTCACAGATCTAGAAATTCCAGTCGCCATTTTCTCAAAACTCGCGACTCCGGGATCTGGTTTGCGACGAATCTGCTGCTCCCGACAGCGAACGACGGCGTTACAAAGTGCACTGGAATCAGGAAGGCGAGCCCCGATTGAACGTCGTTTGCGGCGGTGATAAGAAAAGCGAGAGAGGAAAAAACGAGAAAGAAGGAATCGGGAGAGAGAGAGTTGGTAGAGAGAGAGAGATTGGAAGGTAGAAGGTAGAAGAGAGAGGGAGGGGTGGCTGAGCTTTACTTCTGAGGAGGAAAAGTGAAAACCTAAATGAAAGGGTAAATTTGGAAATATGATTTGTTTTCATAATTAGAATTTAAAGCATGCTATTCTTTACCAACTTTTAAAAAACATGCTATATACTTCAAATATACCTCCAAAAGTACTATTTTGTGCATTTTTTCATAATATAATTGTTAATGTAAATATGTGGCCCATATTAATTAATTTGGAAACTACGTTTCCTAACAAGAATATGTAGTACCCACTATCAATTGGTCGGTTCAGTAGATAGTTGCTTACCATGCACAGAATTATTCTGCTAAATTGATTATATATAACACCACAATGATTTAGTAATATTCAAAATGGACTCAAGGGCCCCACCCACTCCAAAAAAAAAAAAAAGTGGACTCACCCCATTAAAGTTATCATGAGCTGAGTTAGGTCGGACAATATGCAAACGTGTGTATAAAATGAATTAGAAATCTCAACACAAGAAGAGACTTGAGATACCTTAAAGGCCCTGCTGATAATTTTAAAGGGAGTAATTATAAGAGTTTGAATTCATAACCTCCTGTTGTTATACTATGTTATTTTATCAATCAATCACAAAAAGTTAAAATATTAGGAGATGAGTCAATAATTATTGTATATAACACCCAAATTCTACTTATTATTGCTAGCTAGATTAAGTTACATGCATTAGTTAGGTCAGTTCATTTCACTAATTCGAATTTTTGCCACAGTAAAAAGCTCTTAAAACAGTCATATCTAACTTTTTGACTATAGTAAAAAGCTCTCACATAAAATCACATTTCAACTTGAATTAAAAACTCGAATCAACAAACCAAACGGGCCCTTAGAAAGTTGAAACCTATAGAATTGGTATTAACTAAGCAATCATCTGTAAACCATAAGCTTCAAAATGTGACAATTTGGCAGCTAATAGGGGACGTATGATAGGGGAGAAAAACCTAGCTACACAAGAATGGCCGTCAATTTTCCTTTCAGATATCTTCATCATGCATGATACACTACTGTTGGTTGCCCATCAAAACAAACTGAAGTGGGGTGTCTCTAAATGGGGTGGTGCCATAATGCCCAATATAAAAAATGGGATATATCTTGTAAATCTCCAAACTCACAACTTTCTTCTTCAAAATTACACTTTAAACCAAACAAAGTGAAACCAATAGGGGAGAAAATGAAGAACTTGAATATAATACTACTTGCCCATCTTATCTTTTTTAACCTCCTGCCAACTTTTTTTTTTCCTCTTAAAATGTCCATACTCATTGCTGATCCATATTACTCATCCGAAAGTCAAGCCCAAATCCAAATTGGAAGTGGGCGGTTTCACGCCATTATCATAGAATATCATGCGTGGACCGACCCACAAAAGTTGTTTCCACTAGGAATTCCAAGTAAAAACTTTAAAAATGAAAAACACAAAAACTTGGGACTTAATTCCAACTGATTCTCTAGTATATCCTCTGCCACATCAAGTTGTTTCTCTCTGGCAACTTGTTTTAGTGCTTAATGTGGTCACATATACAACTTAGAAAAAAAATAAAGTCTTACACTTCTCTCTACTTCCAAAAACGTGGGTACCTTGCTCTATATACATCCTATGTAACCTAGCTCATGAAAGTGACACATTTTATCACAAGTTCAATATTGAGTTCTTTGAATATCCAAAGCGTGAATAGGCCTCCTAGCTAGTCTAGGCCCTAGAGAGACTTTGTTCTATAAGTAGTAGCCAAATTATTTTTTCATTTCACTTGTCCCATATCTAAGTTAACTCCATACAGAAAATGTTATCCTCTTTGGCTCTCATTAGAGTTCTCTTTCTCTTCTCAAATTTCTTCTTTCTTCCAATACAAGGCAGAATACGTGGTTACACTGAACTTGGCCATTTGCATGCAATATCTAGGATTTCAGTACCACCTTCTCCTGCACCTGAGGCTGTTAGCCCGAGTTATGACAATGCGGATTCTCATAATAAGATCAATGTTTTCAATGTAAGAGCTTTTGGGGCTGTTGGGGATGGTGTAAGCGATGAAACTCAAGCTTTCAAGATGGCTTGGGACACTGCTTGCCAAGCAGAAGATCCATCAATTCTTCTTGTTCCTCATAGCTATACTTTTATGATACATTCTACAATCTTCACAGGGCCTTGTAAATCTTCAGACCTCACATTGCAGGTAATGATTCTTACATATTAAAGAATAGGAAAAAAAAAAAGCACACTTTTTCCTTCATTTTTGTTTTCTTTGGCATTTGACATTGACTTTTTTTTTTTCTTTATGGTGCTTCACATGAGAAGATTGATGGGACACTGATGCCACCGGATGGACCGGATTCGTGGCCTAGAAATAACAGTAAGAAGCAATGGCTTGTTTTCTATAGAATTAATGGAATGGCAATGCAAGGAGGTGGTGTTATAGATGGGAGAGGAGAGAAATGGTGGGATCTTCCTTGTAAGCCTCACAAAGTAAGCCATTTTTACACTTCAACATCTCTATGTTCTTACCATTGAGAAATCATTACTAATATATGGATTCATGGAACAGGGAATTAATGGAACAACTCTTCCTGGTCCTTGTGATAGCCCAGTTGTAAGTCACAAATGTAGTTCAAATTTACTCCCCTATTAATTCCATACTAAATAAGTGCACATTCTTAAGAACTTTTCTTTCTATTGCCTTTGTTTGTAGGCAATAAGGTTTTTCATGAGCTCCAATTTAATAGTAAAAGGACTAAGAGTCAAGAACAGCCCCCAGTTTCATTTCCGGTTCGACGGTTGCCAAAACGTCCATATAGAATCCCTCAAAATAAAAGCACATGCTCAGAGCCCCAACACTGATGGAATTCACATAGAGAACACCAACAATGTGGAAATATACAATTCACTCATCTCTAATGGTGATTTTTTTTATTCTTTCATTTGATATGTTTCTTCATCTTCATATGATTATTTCAAAAAGCTTATTTTGAGCCTTCTTTCAGGAGATGACTGTGTGTCAATTGGAGCTGGTTGTTACAATGTAGACATAAGGAACATTACGTGTGGTCCAAGTCACGGAATAAGGTAATATTCATTGCTTGAAAACATAGTTGTTTAGTGCATTTTTCTCTCTATTAACTCTAAAACCCCAAATCCTTTTTTTTTTTAATGCAGCATTGGAAGTCTTGGCATGAAAAATACCCGAGCCTGTGTTTCGAACATTACCGTGACTGATTCAGTCATCAGGAATTCAGACAACGGAGTTCGAATCAAAACATGGCAAGGAGGCTCCGGAGCCGTCTCTGGAGTAACCTTCCACAACATTCACATGGACACAGTCAGGAACCCAATCATAGTAGACCAGTACTATTGTTCCACCAAGAACTGCCCGAACCAAACTTCTGCGGTATATGTGTCCGATATTTTGTACTCAAACATCAAAGGAACATACGACATAAGAAGCCCTGCTATACATTTTGCCTGCAGTGACTCTGTCCCTTGCACAAACCTTACTCTTTCCGAAGTCGAGCTGCTTCCTTCGCGAGGACAATTCATGTCGAACCCGCTCTGCTGGAACGCCTACGGAAATATGCAGACACTGACTGTACCACCAGCTTTTTGTCTGTTGGAGGGAATTCCAGATATGGTGCAGGAGAGTTATGTTGATCGTTGTTAGCCAATTTGGATTATATTATCATTCTAGTAGATATCAATCCAAACGTAAGAAGAAAACGAGCTAGTTTAACAAATGTACAAGTGAATTAGAAGTATGAATATCTCTTATAGTTATCATGGTAACAAGTTGGTTGTTTTTCTTTTCTTTTCTTTTTTCCTAGTGGTGTAAGATTCTCAAAAGCAAAATACACAAAAATCGCTTTGTATTTCATAATTTGATGATTTCTTTAGTTGTTAAATGGAATTAGATCGAAAAAGTAAAAGAAGTTGCAGGTTCAAAATCTGTGTGAAAGTAGCAAAAGTACATTTTTCTTACAAAATAAAATTAGGAGATGAACTAGGAAGTCAGTGGATTGAGGTTTAAGACTCTTTTCCATTGATGTGGGAAAGCATCACAACCAATTTTGCTGGCCCAAGAATTAAATATCTGCATTTTGGTGCTTCAGAAGTCTCTTTTTGCTTTTCTCCCGTGGTAAATAGGTAGGACTAGACTCTAGGGATGTGTCCAAAAATGGTATGGCAATCTTAAAGGTCTTAGACAACTTGAAAGTGACATCAATAACGGGGTGTGAAACTGAAGGCTCATGCTTTGTGGACCAGAAATCCTAAGTATGTATGTTAAATGATGACAGTGCCAGAAGCGTAAAGTTGTTTCTTTCTTTTTTTGTTTTGGTATTTGTGACAAGTTTTCTAGAAAAAAGTAGGATTTGAATCCAAGTTTTCAATAGAATGGTGAAAAGCAAAGGAATATCTTTATCAAGATTCTTAAAACTGAGAATATATTTTCTATAATTCAAGAGTAATATTATGAAGCCCTGTTGTGGTATACAATCATTTCCTATAAGCATAAGAATATAGATAGAAGTTTACCTACCTTACAACAATCTCACCTACTAATATAGAACTAGTTCAGCCAAAAAGAGGAGGAAAAAAAAAAAAAAAACTAATATTGACCTACATGATTAGTCATATTTCCATAAAGGAAACAAACAAATCTTCTCAAATATATAGCAGACCTACCCAAGACTGTTAACCAAAATAACATCTACTATGTCTTAGTAAGCTACACCAAATCATCATCATCTTTCTTCATCCAAGATTTAAGGACCAAGAGAAATATGTATCCTACAACCAAAGCTGCTGCCCCTCCCAGAACAATTGCCACTATTTTCCCATTGCTGCTGTTACCGCCTTTGCTTTCTCCTTTCCCTGAACAATTAATCATACAATTAGAAGCACAAATTTTGGTATACTATCAATCTTTAAAAATACATTAGAAATAATAAATAAACTTAAATGAGATGGATGTGAAGCATATCACTTACCTGGATTCAACCTGCCAGGTACACCTTCTGGACTGTAAGAATAGCTCATAAAGCACTTGTCCAAGTAAATTTCACCCGAAACAGCAGTACCACATTCTTCTTGAGCAATCCGAACAGCCTTGTTTACACACTCTCCGCATTCACAAGCTTCCATTTCCCCTTCACATTGTGCCATTACTTGCACCAATTCGTAGCTCGTTTTACAGAACCCTCCGCTGCTTGCTATGCCACCTTCCAAAGCGGAAAACGCTGCGTCCCTCATCTCCACAAACCCGCCAATCAACGGGTTTGGTTCCCCACAAGTTTTGTGAAGCAGTTTGTTTTCGGAGTACTCATTTGGAAGCCAATCGGGTTCATAGCGGATATAGCAGCCCGGAAGCTGAACCCGAGCTGATTCTGCTTGTTTACAGAGGCTGCTCGACATGGCAGGTAGAGCTTTCACACAGTTTCCACAGTCCTCATTGCTGATATCTTCTCTGCACTGAAATAAACCATAAATCGCCGTCTGATCATCATCACTGCCATGAGTGGTTTTGAAGAACTTTGATTTAGAGGATTGAAGAACTAGCTCTTCAAAAAGAGATGAAAGGGTTTGTGCGTGAGACATGGTTGAACTAAGATGCGTTTGATCCGCACAACTTTTGTATACTAAGCTGCTTTCGTTAGAAATCGGTTTCACGGATGGCAGGGAAACTGCAAAACAGAACAGCATGATCATTGCATGAAAGAGAAGAGGGAGCGATTTTGAAGTTAAATCCATGCAGAGTTGAGTTTTGTTCATTATAATTAAGCACATTCTAGTTTCGTATCTTGTTTTGAGCATTGTGAGCTCAGAATTAAATAGAACAATGCAATGAATTTATTGTCCACGATGGTTGAGTTTTTTCCCATGTAGTTGCTTAGAAATTTGAAGTTTGTAGTTATTTTTTCCAGCCTACTTCTATCTAACTATGAAAGTAACTTATGAATCTCTGCCGTTAAAGAAAGGAAAATAGCCCGTATGAGGAAATGAATAGATAAGTTAACTACTTAACTTTCGTTGTAACTTCCATTTTTACTTCTTGGAGAGGATAATATTATTTTAAGACTAATTTGAAGATATTTAATTATGTATCCTGATCAATCCAGAAAAAGGAAAACGAGTAAGAAAAATAGGTTGTACTCAAATTTGCTCTTCACAACTCACAAACGCTTTTTTTATTTTCATGTTGTGCATGGGTTAGTCAACAGAAGCTACGTACGGTCGTAAACGCTTCAGGTTATAACGAACTTCCTCAAAATAAAAAGGTTCCAAAATCTGCAAATCCCATTTGGGCCATTTTCTCTCGTCGGAGCAGATTAGCCCCAAAAAAAGAAAATCGTATTCAAAACGAAACCACAGATTTTTCCATTGGATTCTTTTCGCCACTCTTTGCCAAAGGGTGGTTCTTTTTGGATTTTCGTCGTTCTGATTGGTGATTTCGCCGGCCGAAGACGGCGGAGATAATATGCCCGGCGGTCACGCATCCGTGTCACGGCTCCTGGAGCTCAATTTGCTCTCGGCGCGTGACCTAGCGACGGTTTCCAAGTCCATGAAAACCTTCGCCGTCGCGTGGATCGATCAGGACCGGAAATTGGAGACCCGGAACGACCAGACCGGGCAGAACAACCCGGCGTGGAACGAGAAGTTCGCCTTCCGCGTCGACGACGACTTTCTCGTCAGTGAGTCGTCCACCATCACGATCGAGATCCGCGCGTTGACGAGGCGAGGCAACGTGGTTTTGGTTGGTACCGTCAGCGTCCTCGTCGCGAGCCTATTTCCTCGCTCGTCGACGTCGTTTCAGAAGAGGAGCTTCTCCAAGATGCGATTCTTGACGCTACAGATCCGCCGCCCTTGCGGCCGTCCCCAGGGCGTCCTCGACGTCGGTGTCGCGCTCCTCGACGGCACCAGACGGAGCATGCCGCTCTCCAGCGACGTCAGCGCGTCGGGATACGGAACCACCGACATGATGGACACGAGAAGCGACAAGGAGAGAAAGAGGAAATCCCTCCCAAACATGATCAAACTGCGACGCTCCAAGAGCGACCGATCGATCAGCGAATCGTGCCTTCTAAAGCCGACGAACGGCTCGTTGATCAGCTGTTCCGATCTCGGAAAGGGAAAAGAATCACTCTGTTCGGACGTCGGACCTTCTCCGTCGGTCGTGGCAGCGGCGATCGCCATGGGACGATATCCGGCGAAGGCGAAGGATTCCGGCGGCGCCGCCAATGAGATGGCGGAGAGCTCGATTCTGGAGGAGTGGACGGAGGAGGACGATAGCGCGGAAGGGCTAAAAACGAAGATCGAGAGATGGCGATCGGAGATTCATCCATTATACCAAAGCCAATACAAGAAAAACATGAGTTATCATAGAGAGAATTACAATCGGTCAACGCATCGGCGGAACGAGCCGGCGAAGAAGGAGCTGAGAAGAGGCGGATCGGGGCTGTTCTCGTGCTTCGGGAACGCCTACGGTTGCGAATTCTCGATCACCTGTGGAGGAGGTAGTAGCCGTAGGAAGAGTAGGCTTGACGGTGGCGACGACGTCGTTCATTTAAGCCTATCGGAAATTCAATACAACGATCCGTATGATCGTGTATAGCCATTAATTTTAACATTATACTTTTGATGAAAATAAAAAAACAGGCCATTCAAAGAGTTTGTAGATAATATTACATCATGTATTGAGCTTTTATAAACTGGTGCAATGCGTGGGTTAATGCTGTCTCCCATGCATATAACAATATTTGTCGCAGCACATACAATTTGTTATACACAACAGAGCGAGAGTAATTTGTTCTCTCTACTTTTCTGTTTTATGTCATTATTGTATGTATAATTGGGAATTCGAAGTAAGAATTTACAAGCAATGGCAGGACAACGTTTGGTAAGTTAATTAAAATATATTATCATGCAATAAGAGAAATTTAGATAACCAAATTATCTATTTCACTAGGTGGGGATTCAGTACGATAACTAATCTGTATAAAATTGAACTCCCTTTTGTGTTTGGATATTCAAATTCATTTTAGGCTTTTCTCAGTTCTCATATTTATATTGAAAAAAAAAAAAGTCTATTCTTTGGGGGAAAAAAAGGTTCTATAAAATTGCACACTTTATTTCTTTCGGTATATAGTTACACAAGCAAGGATTTGGTATCTATATGTTAGAGAGTATAAATTAGCTTGTTAAACCGCACGTGAAGGGGAGTCCAGATCTGGTCTCCCTATTTTCCTGTTCTAATAACTGTCTCTGCATTAATTATTTATCATGTCATTTAAATTTAAGAATCGGACTACATAAAGATGAACAAAATACTACAAATACTTATACATGAGATGTCAAAAAATAATTAGAGGGACAACTATAAAATAAAGAAATGAGACAGTAGATCTTAATTCTATGAAGGTTAATTAAGTAAGCTTCAGTCTTTAGAAATTTTAGCCAATGGCAGAGACTAACTATAATAATTGCCAACGCAAGAAACGTGAGATGTACAAGGGTAATTACAAAGCAAAGGATTCAATATTAAACCAATATGTCGTTATATGTAAGCAATTCAAATCGTGACAACCAATGCTAATATCGTCCTTGGCTCATTATATTAATTAATAGTTGTACTATGTCCTCACAGTTGTCTTGTGCATCAGCCATGCAGCCCTAGAACCAGGCATTACGACAAGCAAACACATAACCGCACTCTGCATGCAACTATAATTAACATAAAAAATCATGTGACACATATAAATGGGTTAAATTTTAATGATTACGCTAATATTTATTTATTATTATTTTATCTATAATATATTAATTTGACGGTGGTAATAAATTAGACGGTTAAAAAATTTAATAATTAATAAAATTAGATTCTTTTCATGTCACGCAATTAAATTATATTTGATGATAATCACTAAAAAAAAAATCGTAAGAATATAAATACATTTTGGTTTATTATAAATTAAGGTCTTCACCACTCCAATACTCCTCGCATTTTCTTATCTTATAATCCACTTTCTTACCATGGCAACTGATCACCACTCAAAGGTTTTGTCAAAAGAATCAGAAACCAAGCCGAGCAAAATCACCGTCAACTACAAAGAGTGCCGGCGAAACCACGCGGTTTCTATTGGCAGCCACGCCGTCGACGGCTGTCGTGAATTCTCACCGGCCGGTGACCAAGGGACCCAGCAGGGTTTTCTCTGCGAAGCCTGCGGTTGCCACCGGAGTTTTCACCGGAAGGAGATGATCAGGAACGGCGTGGTCCACCGTGCACCTACTCCGGCACCACAGTTAATGTTGCCTCCGGCTTTTGCAGTACTCCCCACGGGAGGTTACCCCACGTTACCGTTTGTGGTGCTTCATCCAGTGGATTATAACTCCTTGTCACAGCAGCCTCCTGGTCAATCTCATCATGATCATGATCAGTATCATCCGCTGCAGAATGAACGATTGGATGGCTGTGATCTAATTAGGTCGGGACAGAAACCAAAGTCGATCAAGAGGCCCAAGACGGAACCGTTCTAGAGTATCAATAATATGGTGATCAGCTCACTCTTGTTTGTTTGTTTGTTTTTTTTTTTTTTTTTTTTTTTAATTTAGAATTTTTGTTTAATTTTATTCCTCTGCTGAGATTCTAAGTTGGTGTAGTGAGGCACATTGCGGATCAAGATCGACCAAATTAAAAGTTGAAATTTCAGCATTCATGATATTTGATACCAGAAAAACATAAACTTTTCATAAGAACAACATGTTGTCGTTTTCTTATAAGAGTAGCAATCGACGCCACTTTACTCGAATTTTTCATCAACGAAAATAAAACGACGTCATTTCAATTATCGTATCAACGACGTTACTTTTTTTCATCAATACAAACTACAAAACTTGTCTTTACTTTCAGACAGAGAGATTCCGTCAAAAAAGGCTATTTAATGAGAAATGTCAAAAACTTATCAAACTTGAAAAATAACAATGTTAAAAACCCTTTAAACCAGTATCGTTTTTCAAAGGGCATGTCATTTCATTAAGAAATTATTAAACGACGTGTAATTATACCTTTGTGACGTGTCGTGTATCTTTTCATACATACGACATACCATTTACTCCCGGAGATAAAATACAGTTGTGAGTTTTTCTAGAAAACGACATTGGCGAGTTTTTTTATTTATTTATTAAATAACGACATTTCGTTTCGGCCAACTTTAGCTTTTCTTCCTATTCATTTTTTATGGTCAGCTGTCTTTTCTTTATATATTAAACAAAAAACATCATTCAACATTCATATATAATTTGCTAATCAAAAGACATGTCCGTTACTATTAAATTACCTTATCACCTCAGTTGGACGACTTGTCGCTTTTTATTACCTTATTAATATGGTTCAAATCAATGTCGTTTTTTGCATTGAACAACTTGTGTGCACGAGCTTTCTTAAAAATAATAATAATAAAAAGAGACTGTAGGATATTGCATGTTCTTTTTTACGTTAAATATGATTTTTTTTATAAAAAAAAAAAAAAACATCAAAATAGAAAAAACACAAAATACAAAATTTGACGGTATATTATAATCATACCTACCCAACAACGATAACGACATTTTGCACATATTTTTAACGTTTTTACCAACTGAAAACAGCTCGTTTTTTACTTTTAGAGAAAACAAGATACAATTTTTGCACACTCCTTTTTTTTGATAATATGCTAAAGCACCCAAAAAAAAAGTCACTAAAAAATTCAATACGCTGCTTTATTTATCACTAAAAATGCTAAATTTAACAATTTTTTTTGAAGGTGCTAAATTTAATAATTTTAAACCAAACATACGGTATAAGACACCCGAGTATTTAGAGAGTCGAATGAAAGCTCATAAACAGGGGAGAAAAAAAAAAAAGCAAAAACTAAAACTTTCAATTTTAAACAAAATTCTGCAAATAATTTTAAGAGGAAAAAAAAAAAAAGCAAAAGGAAAACGCTACCGGTTTCTGCATTTACCAAATACCCCTAACAAATTAAACTACTTATTAAAAAACTCCACTTTTTAACACTAACATCATAGTAATTTTATGGTTGAATTTATTTTAAGGAAATTGTATTTAATTAAAAACTGATAAACAATTATCCCGTTAAAATGTTAATAAACTATCATTGTAATTTTACGGATGAATTGTTACATATAAAAGGTACAAGATTCATCTGATTTGTTGCTTTTTTTTTTTTAATTTCGTTTTTTTAATTGCCATAACGCATATTCCTTTCAAACATGCCGGCTGCTTTTGTGGGGAAAGAAAGCTGGTCCAAATTTTATACTTTTCCATCACAACTCCACAAACGACAACGACGTCAGAATTGTGTAACATTCATCAACTTGTTTATTCTTTTTGAAATATTGTTATGCTTATATCGTATATGCTTATACATCCCTCTGATTAAGACCTGGGACTGGACATAAATTAATGGAGAACTCCCGGATCCAACTTGCTTAATACTATATATATATATATATATATAGATATATATAACTCAATTGATTTCAATTGGGTAAATCTGTTCATTAAACGTTAGGAATAGGTTGACAATTTATGGCATTTATTTTATCATGCGGCAGTGGCTTATGCCATAATGTGGATGACTACAAAAGTGTCCTAGTCATTTGGTCAATGAATTTGGTTTTTTTTTTAATAAAAAAAACATATTTATTTTTTATATTTGTCTTTGATTTTTAATCATAATTCATGATTCTCTACAGTATGTTTATCTCACAAAAAACACACGAAAAATGAGAATGATTTTGAATCATGATTCTGAATTTATGAACTAAACGTCCACTAAAATAAGGGGATTCAAACTCTCGAGTCTCGACCTTAACATTGGAGGATATTTTTTGATTTTTCTTAACCTGAACATTTAAATTTTTTGACCTTAATATTGTAGGAAGTATGAGGATTCCAACTCTCAATCAATTAAAGTATATTGGTTTCTTGTATATAACGGAGTGGAGATTCAATAGGCCTAAAGGGAAAAGAAAAGGTAGGAAATTTTGTCTATTACTAATCAACTTTTTGAACTTTTATTATGGATGCAACACGTCAACAAGCTCGTTTAAGGTGTTTAATGTTGAGGATTATATGATAAAAGCGTGCACGGAATTTGTCCTTCAAAAAAATCTTGAAATCGAATTTTAAATTTGAAGGTAAATATGACTAATAATCTTCTACCAATAAGTAAGCAAGAAAATCTTTATGTTGGTCTTCGAAGATTTTCATTTTTTTTTTACATTTATTTTAAGGAGTATGGTTATACTTATACTATAGGATGTGACAATAAAAACTCAGCACCAATTGTTGGGTTATTATATCTTGGTAATTATTTATTTTAGCTCTCCAATAGGAAGTATTTTACTCGTATTCTCTATGACGTTAAATTCATATAGTTTCTCAAATGGATATGAATGATAATTATTAACGGCACTATTTTATGTTTAGGCAAAAACATCAAATATGTTAGGGTAGCCGAGTAGGAGAATATTTTTCAAATGAGCAAGCAGATTTTAGTGAATATTTTGAGGACTAAACTAAGCATATTCTTTCAAGCAAAAGGGCAAAAGGGCGAAAAAAAAAAAAAAAAAAAAAAGTTTTAGGTTAATCATCGTATGAATTATGCGGGTGTCCACTTGTCAATTGTGGATAAGATGAATGTCCAAGCAAAAAAAAAAAAATAATAATAAATAATAAATAAAAATAAAGTTGGTTGGCCTGGTGGCTTTCTTTTTCACCTATTTAAGTGCAATTTTCTTTTTTTCTAAGAGTGCAATTTATGTCATTAAATTATGAGTGAGATCATCTGCCAAATCATCTCTGCCTAACTTTTCCCTTATATAATTCACAGATATTTATTAGAAAAAGTTGTTTAACCATATGCATTAAAACAAAAGTTTTTTACCCCCGTTTTCAATTTTTTTTATTTTAGCTTTTGGCTGTTGTTTAGCGTCGAGAGACTCAGGAATTATTTTTTTTTTTTCACTCTAAACCCTAAAGAATAATAGGAAAATGGTCGAAAATATATCAATATGAAAAGTTTAAAAAAGTATATAGGTCAATTTTTAGTTATAGAAATTAATAGGTCATAACTTGTCAAGTTATGGTTCATAACCAAAGAAATTATGGACAAACTTGTCAAGTTATGATTCATAACCAGACAAATTATGAACAAAAACCGTGAATAACTTGTCAAGTTATGATTCATAACCAGATAAATTATGGACGAAAATAATAATTTAGCCTATTTATTAACTTATGTAAACTATTAACCTATTAATTTTAATTCATCTCAAGTCTTGATCTATTTTTCTCTTTCTCCCAATATATTAATACATAAATGCTTACGTGAAAGAGAAATTAGATTGTTGTTATCTTTCTTTCTTCCTTTTTTTTTTTTTTGTGAACCTTATCTCATTTGTTTCCTTAAAGTAAATCTTTTTTTCCCCCTCTAATTTATAGGTAGTCATTGAGGCTTTTTTCTCTTATTAACTAAAGATTAGAAGCCCACCACATCTGGTTTTTTTATTTTTATTTTTTGAGCTTTCAATCATAAAATTACCTTTTCATATTTTTAAAGTTAGATCTAATCAAAATTCAAAAAAATAAAATAAAATAAAAATTTGACAAAACTTGATATAAATTTTTCATTTTAAAGAGATGCTTTAACAATAGAAAAAATGAGACAAATATCACTTAAAGTGTATAAGTCTTCAATTTTTATCTTTTATTATTAATTAATACTCTTTAATCAAAAAAATTATATTAATCAAAATGATACTTATTAAAATTAAAGAGTAAAAATCTTAAACACTATACTTTTATAGGATGAAGTCTATAATTTACTCTTATTTCAATAGGAGTTTTTCATACGTTCTCTATTATTTTTTCTGCTTCCCTCATAGACGTGAAAACAAAATTGAGGTACAATCACTTAAGATGACAATCTTTTTTTATTTTTGATTTTTTTTTGGATAAGCAACCTTTTCAAACATATGAAATTGGAAGGAAAAAAAAAATTCCATTCACTTCGCTAATTCGAGTTTAGAATTCGAGTTTAGATGTGACTTTATGTGATAGCTTTTTACTGTAGTAAAAAAGTTAGATGTGATTTTTTATGAGAGTTTTTTACTGTAAAAAAATTTAAATTTTAAACTCGAATCAACGAAATAAACGGGCTAAGAGAGAGCTCTTTCAAGTTTCAAATACAAAATATGAAAGACATGCTCAAATCAAACAAAACAAAACAAACGAGAGAGAGAGAGAGAGAGAACTGTTTTTTTTTTTTTTTTTTTGGTTCTGTTGATTTGTTTATTAGGGAATATTTATTTATTTATTTCTCCTCCAGCTTACCTTTCTTTCACTCAACTTCTTTTTCCAATTTTCTCTCTCTCTTCTCTCAACAGCTGAACAACTCTCTCTCTCTCTCTCTCTCTCTCTCTCTCTCTCTCTCTAACCCAACAAACACAAGAGAGAAGAGTCCTCATTTTACACGCGTTCATCTTTGTTTTCTTTCATTCTAATAAACGTCTGATTGGGTTGAGCATTTGATTAACAAAAACTCTCTCTCTCTCTGTTCCGTCTCTTTGAATTCTATAGAGAGAGAGAGAGAGAGAGGGCGACTCTCTTTCTTCTCTCTGTTTCTCTCTACACAGAGAAAAGGTAAAAGGGTCTGAGGATCATAATCCAGAAGAAATTTTTTGTTGGGACATTTTTTTTTGTTGGGAATTTTGCGTAAAAATTAAGAAAATGTTTGGGTGTGAGTGTTGGTGTTGGAACAGTGAGCCAGAGTGCTATCTTTACTCTGAGCCTGAGCCTTTCTCTCTGCCTTCACCACTTCCCTCATGGCCTAAAGGTATGATCTTCGGAAGATTTTTTTTAAAAAAAAAAAAGAAAAGAAAAGAAAAAAAACCCAGGTTTTATTTTTTATTTTTGGATAAATTTTGGTATTTTCTGAACAATACTTTCCCTTTTTGTTTTCTCAAAATTGATTTGGTTGCGGAGTTTGATGTCCTATGGGTTGATTTTCCAGTTTCTTGAACAACTTTTATCTCAATTTTTTCTTTGTTCTTTTTTGTAAATTTGTTCAGAATTTTTGGATAAATGGGGTTGGTTATAGAATATGCTTTGTATATGCTCTCCTCTCTCTCTTTTCTCCCACTTGAGCTCTGAGTTTCTCTCTTAATACTGTTAAGTCTTTTGGTGGCCCTGCATTTGATGATATTTTGAATTTCAATAATTTGTGGGCCATCTGTCATATCAGCCATCTAACTGTTGGTTAATCGTTGGAAAAACCTTAACAACAAGGTCTAAAATTTGCAACTTTTTTTTTGTGCTCCGATCTAAAATTTAGAACTGTCTTCTTTGAATTCCTTTTCTCATAAGAAAAAAAACGTCTTGTGAATTGTCTGTGCCTTGGTTCTTGATGTTCTCTCAGTTGCAAAGCACAAGATTTTGAAACAGTGCCACTTTTATATTGTTGTATGATATGATGTTTAACTATTACGTTTACAATTACACGCGAGTCAAAAGTTGGATAGTGTACATGAACGTTGATTAAATTCTGGATACAGCTATGATCAACAGATTCAGGCACTTGGTCAACAGATTCATCCTTGGAAATTGACTTGAAATTCTGAATTCAATTTTTTTTTTTTTTTTTTTGTTCTTTTCGAATTTGTTCATCAACCAGTTTGAAGCAACTGCAGAACTTAATGTCGGTGTTTCTGTGAATATGGAACATAAGGGTCCATTCTTACAAAAAAATAAATAAATAAATAAAATAAATAAATAAAAATAAAAATAGTAAAAATAAAAACTTTTACTTGCTTTCTTATATCTGGAAAATCTTATATATTTACTAAATTATGTGTATTTGTATTTACTTAGGCCAAGGTTTTGCTACTGGAAGAATATCTCTTGGGGGGATTGAAGTTGAGAAAATCACCAAGTTTGAGAGAGTTTGGAATTGCGCACCTGTACGTGGAAAGTCAAAAGGGGTTTCATTTTACAAGCCCGCCGAGATTCCGGAGGGCTTTTCCTGCCTTGGCTACTACTGCCAGCGGAATGACCAGCCATTGAGAGGCTACGTTCTTGTGGCTCGTGAAGCCACTTCTCCAAAGCCAGAAGTTGGATGTTTTGACAACCCGGCATTGGAGTCTCCGGAGCTAAAAAAGCCCATTAACTATACTTTACTTTGGAGTTCAGACTCGTATAGTGATGGCTGTGGCTATTTTTGGATGCCAAAACCGCCAAGTGGTTACAGAGCGATGGGTTTTGTTGTCACTAACACCCCTGAGGAGCCTAAAGTTGATGAAGTTCGATGTGTGCGAGAAGATCTTACCGAGACCTGTGAAACAAGCGATGCAATTTTCTCCATGGATTCGAAACTTTCAAAGGACTCATTTCGGGTATGGACCACGGTACCTTGCGAGAGGGGGATGTGGTGCAAAGGTGTTTCTGTTGGTACATTCTTCTGCTCAAGGTACCTGAGTTCTGAGGACGATCTAGATATCAGATGCTTGAAGAATGGAGATCCCAACCTACATGGAATGCCAAATCTAGACCAAGTTCATGCACTTATTCAGCATTATGGACCTACTTTGTTCTTTTATCCTGATGAAACTTATTTGGCGTCCTCGGTTCAATGGTTTTTCAAGAATGGGGCGCTTCTGTACAGAGAAGGCTCTGAGAAGGGTGAGCCCATTGATTTTGGAGGCGCGAATTTGCCTGCTGGAGGGGTGAATGATGGTGAGTGTTGGATAGATTTGCCAAGTGATGATGATGCCAAAAATTGTGTCAAGTGTGGTAATATGGAGAGTTCAGAGCTATATGTTCATGTGAAACCAGCACTAGGAGGGACTTTTACTGATATAGCTATGTGGGTGTTTTGCCCCTTCAATGGACCAGCCACCATTAGGGTTGGTGGTCTGCTGAACATTGAATTGAACAAGATAGGGGAACACGTGGGTGATTGGGAGCACTATACCCTGCGTGTGAGCAACTTCACCGGAGAACTCTGGCAAATCTACTTCTCGGAACACAGTGGTGGTAGATGGTTAGATGCTTCTGACTTGGAGTTCATTCAAGGGAACAAGGCAGTTGTTTATGCTTCAAGACATGGTCATGCTAGCTTCCCGCACCCTGGGACGTACATTCAGGGGTCAACAAAGTTTGGAATTGGGGCAAGAAACGATGTTGCTCGAAGTGACAACTTCATTGATTCAAGTACCAAGTATCAGATTGTTGCAGCGGAGTATCTTGGCGACGGAATTGTTACAGAACCATGTTGGCTGCAGTATATGAGAGAGTGGGGTCCAACAATAGTGTACGACTCCCGATCCGAACTGGACAAGTTGCTTGATCTTCTTCCATTCTACTTCCGATTTTCGGTAGAGAACATATTCGATTTGTTTCCAACTGAGCTATATGGTGAGGAAGGACCAACTGGACCAAAGGAGAAGGATAATTGGGAAGGTGATGAAAGATGATAGCTTTATCATACCAAAATTCCACTTGACCGTTGAGTCCCTTCTTTCAGTGAGAGTAGCCATGTTGTAAGAGTGGTTAGCTTAGTTATCATAGCTGCCAGGTTATCACACAGTCACCGAGGCAAAACTGCGTTGTGCAAGCTGCTACGTATATTCCGCAAATTCTACAAATCTCAATGCAAACAGATTGAAAATTTGTGTATAAATCTATGAGGTGGTGAACATCCATGCCGCCAGAGGAGGCTTTTCGGAAGTAGAATGTGTGACCAATGTGGTCTCGCGATGAAGACATGAATGAGGAAGGGGATAGTAAAGTTGCTCTGAATTTGGAGTTGTTATATGTAGGTGGTACAAGGAGTTGCCATCTCCTGACGCATGGAAATACACCATTGTCAGCAAAAATTGCCTGGCCATTAAACAGACAATGAAATTGCTTCCTTCTCTCTTTATCAAATTATCGATTGCTATTGTACTTGTCCAGTCTATGGAGTGATTGGCTTGTTGTATGTAATGAACTATTTGTTCAGCATTCCAAAAAGAGAGTACGATCTAAATTATACATATCTGTGGTGCAAAGCAATCAACTTCTTGTCTCCTCTTAAGTGGTTTAAACAATTAGTTAAGAGAAATAAACCACTACCTAGGAGAATGAGATCTTAAATTGGTAATTCCAGTCACCGTTTTACATTCATCCTGAAATACCAACTTCGCCTCTTTTTTTAAGCATATATTTTTTTCCTCTTTCGTTGTCATACCGTTTTCCCATTTGCAAGACATTATCCGGAATGGGACTAAAAACTAAAAAAAATAAAAAATAAAAAACAGGAAGCACAAGTCTGGTTTCGCGATGGTTACCCTTTGAACCTAAAAACTTGGTCTAAAAACCCACGTCAAGGTAAGCGTGCAGGTAGAATACACCTGTTTGCTTGTCTATGCCTTTCATTACGCTATAGGAGTGATAAATGCCTACATAAAATGGGAGACTATTATGCTCTGATTTTCCAATTTCACAATCATATGTATAAATTACAACACCTTTCTCGTCCCGCACGACCACTCTACCGTTTTTTTTTTTTGTACCTTTCCAAAAGAAAACCTGTAATCTTCCCCCTCAAAAGAAAGTGAGGAAAAAGATTAGTCAACTTTGTGTTCAAAAGGACATTGAACTCGACGCAGCGGCTATATACAACAAAAACCAATCAATCAACGTTAGACTAAGCCGTGAAAGAATTTTAATATGAATTTCTTCACTTTGATGTTCTGCCATCTCGATTCAGGGTCTCCCAACTTATCTCCTGTGCGCACTCCCCACACACAGTACTGCAACCAGATTTCGTGCCCTGACTTCTAAGGGTCAGCATATGAGCCAGGTTAGTGCATTTCCTCGGCACCACATGGTTCCTCATGTTTGACCGCCGAAAGCTGCTCGTATCAGGTTCCTCTGGCGCATCTTTTGATCCAGGTTGATTTTGCTCTGTTGCAGTCTCGCTGAGAGGGACTCGCTGTACTTCCTCCCATTCAAATGTTTTCCGGTACACTTCCCAAGCCATGTCTTGCTCCTCCTTCGATAGTTTCTCCTCTTCATTCTCTTGCAGAAGGGTTTCGTGTTCATGGTAATTAGCTATCCAGCTGAAAACAAACGTATGATAAGCAATAGAGTATCGCAAAATAAAGGAGCAAGACCAAAATTCTGAAAACCTAAACGGATTAAAAACAAATACCCTGCTACTTGCTGCTGATGAATAAAATATTAGTATTCAATTTCTATGGTGAAGAGAAAAGATACAGAAAAAACGGACAACACATTAAATAGCACTTAAGCTTTAAGTTTGTACTAAAAGATTCTACGTAAGTCACAAAGAATATACCTCGGAGAATGCTTGCCAAGCAAACTTTCCATCAGCTTGTCAGAAGAGCAACTTCCAGACGTAGCAGGCATTTTCTGCTTGGGAAGAATGCCAACTTTAGCACTCATAGTCAGTTTTTCTGCATGACCATTCTCGTGATCCAGATTAGTCAAATTATCCGGGTTCTCATCATCTCCAAACTCAAAGAGATGTAACATCTCTTCCTTGGACATTGTCCTATGCACCTGTTGTCTATCTACAACCCTTGCAGCTAGACCCTCCTTTGTTACCTATTTGAATGTATCTTCGTTAAAATTCCACTGAGATACATGTATCGTGTAACTGCAATTTGTTCGGCCATTACCTGACGCTTATAAATCTTTTCCTCCATAGTTCCATGTGCCATCAATCTGTAAGCAAACACTGGCTTTTTTTGACCATACCTACAATGACCAAACAGAAGATTCTTTTGTAAATACTTTTTGCTGAGAAAAGTCAGTCACCCTGGAATTCCTTGTCTATTTAGGACTTTGTATGAAAAATCATATACACATAATCACTTGCCATTGTTCCCTAGTCTGTGCACAGCTCAGAACACAGTTTTCTTCTAGTAGCACTAAGTTTTAGTTTTTATTTTGGAATTTTCACTCTCCAATATATGTCTTTTGGTATTGCACATCCACTGATTATACATACACAACTCAGGTGGTTCTCTTAATAAAACTATTCATAGCCCCCAACTGTTCACCTTTTCATTGGATTTATGGAAGCCTAACCAAGAAACCAAGATGTCCTTACTGCATATTGGCCATAATCAAAAGTTCAAACCAATTTAAAGAATTTAATTTGGGCACTTAAAAAGTTAAAATTTCAACCAACATTCTCTTAAAGGAAGCAAGACAGCCTGTAAATTACGCAATATCATGCCATGGATATCCGTTGTAAAAGGCAAGCAGGTTTTCCTAAATCAAAATTAAAGTCTGTAAAAGCACATAACCAAACCTACCTCCAAGCCCGATATATGGCCTGAAGGTCATATGTTGGATTCCAAGAGCCATCAACTATGATTACGCGGTTAGCAGCATGAAGATTAATCCCTAAAGATCCCGCTCTGGTTGAAATCAGACAGCATTTCACCCGCTCATTTAGGGGGTCATTAAAGCTCTCAACCAGCTTTTGTCTTTCTGAGCTCTCTGTTCTACCATCTAGCCTGAAGAGCAAACAAAGAACAGGTAAAAACAAGTTGACAAAACTGCAGTAGACATTTCACTTCTATTATTTGAAAATATTACACTTAGCAGCCGTTCAATTAGAGTATAAATTAAGATAAATGCATAATGCATGATGGCGACAAGAAAGGGAACAATAGTGAAACAGAAAGAAAGGAAGAAAAAAAGAAAAAGAAACAAAGGTAGAGGAGTAGCTGAAAGTAAACTGCATCTTCAGCATTTGCTCAAAACTCAGAAAGTGGAAAAATGTAGAAGTAATGAAAATAACTGCAGCCAAGAAAATCTTCTCCAACAGTTTTAGCTGTATCTAAGAAACTGTATTCCTAATGTTCTGGATGCCATGACAAGTACCAAATGCTGCCCATGTTGTAAAATGCATAGAACTTCATAGGACAATTAACAAATCAATGAAGAAACTATAGAATCAAAACAACCAGTTTCATAAATAAGATTCTTGCAAGAGAAACATTCACATAAATAAACTGAAAATGTTTCAGCAAATAAACTTACCTATACCAGTCTTTTCCTTTCTTCCAAAATTTCCCTTTCTCCCCTGGTCGAGATAGTTTTGACAGATAAAGTTCTATTAAGTCAAGAGTTAGTATACTCTGGCTAAAAACCAATGCCTTATCACCCACATTAGAACTCATGGCTAGAATGTCAAGCAGCAAAACCATTTTTCCGCTGTAATCGATCTCTTTATAACTTTTTTCATGAAGAAGATTATTCCACCAGCCCTGAAAGAAAGATTAATGAAAGGTTATGCCTAAAGCAAGATACATTAAAACAAGAATGAATGTCTCAAATTCGAGCTACTCGTTAATAAATGCACCCCATATTGGAGCAAAGGAATGCACCATGACCATCATACCATGACTAGGAAATGAAAAATAATGGCTGAGAAATCACCAATCGGAAGTCCTAACGCCATCTATTCGAAATACTAATGATATACAAATGGATGACAAATAATTTGACAAACTAATCCATTTAAACTTACCTTTGGGAGAAGGCCATCATCATTTTTTCCAGGAAGAACCCCATTCAAATTCTTCTGCTTCTCTGTAAAGAATAAAAGATTGTAATTATATTAAGTGATAGAATTTCAGAAGTTGTTTGTGCAAAGGCTAGAAACTCCTTAATAAGGACACTCTTTTAAGTTGCAAAAGAATAGGAAGTCTCCAGACGACACTTACAAGATGATACACACATGCATACAATTTCATAATGATAACTGCTAAAAGTTTATTGTTACATGAACTGGACATGGAAAGTACAAACAGTATTGAAACATATATCTTGTGAAAACAAAAAACAAAAAAGTGAAGGGAAAACAAAACATGCCTTCGAAAACCATATTGTAGTCTATGTTTTCATCACTAGAGCTCTCATCTGCAAGAAAATTTTCAATGGCGTCTTCACGTCTTACAGAGTCTTTGTCATCCTTTTTCAGTTGCAATATACCAGGGTGGTTCCATATCTACTACAGAAAACACGACATTTCATAAGAACCACGTACAAGAGAGAGAAGCAAAATAACACACACACACACACAGAGGTATGCACTACATAATTCTTCTGTTGATTCATCAACTTTACACTGAAAGTGAAATATCTAGACAAGTGTCACGCAAGATACATTATGCTATTGTTACATATGACAAAGCAATTCATGATTTTAATGTCATTTATGATTCCCCAAAAGGTTAGAAGTCAAATATCTCGAAGACTATCGAATATCATGTAAACATCTTTCTTCTCTCATTTTAATGACGTCTATGTCCTATTTTCACCAAAAAGAAAAAGGAAAAACTAATGTGAAATAAATTGTCTTATTATTGAAAAAATTAAGAGCATTTTACATGAAAATCAAGCAAATGAGATCTTTTTTTTTTAATTAAGAAAATCCTTTTATTGAATAATTAATTCAAAATTTCAAATACAAACGAGAGAGGGTGAGAGGTCCTCAAAAAGCAGAAAAACTGAGATCTAAGACAACTCACTCCCACCATGACAACTGCTTTTTATCATGACAGCTTATATATGCAGAGCAAAATCTTCAGTAGGTTTATATGTATGACTCCAATCCCACATTCACACATGCATGCACAAGTATTTATAAGTTTTCACATCTTAATGCAGTTTTGAATGCAGCAGGGAACATGAAAGCATGCCAAAGAATGAACCTGTGCTAAGGCCTGGTACCCTGCAAAAAAACTTCTCTTCCCTATATTTTCACTAGAGACCTTGTAATTAGTAAATCCATGCACATCAAGGAATCTCTTATACAATTTCCTCTGCAAGGGAGAAAGCTTCACAGCTATAACAAAAACAGTTTTAGGTGGTAAGTCCGTCTTCACCACGGCCATATCCATTCTTTGCACAAAGCCCTTCAACTGTTCGTAGAGGATATGAGACCTTTGATTCATAATTTTCACATCGCCCAGAGTTGAATTAGTATGTTGACCATTCTCTATGGGATTTTGGAAGCTGCAAATATAGTAGTTGAATTAGACAATTGGAAACAAAATTAAATGAAAGAATTAAGCTAGCACTCATATCATGCAAGTAAAGAAGACTTGCCGGTTCCTAAACTCATGACTGCTTCCAAGAAAACCTTCCCTTACAAAATCAACCATCTGTTTCAAATAGATAATCAAAACTAATTAAAACCAGTAAAAGTAGAAAAACCAACCAGAATTAATACTCTTTAAATGAACTCACACAATAATACTCCATGAGATTGTTTTGTAGAGGTGATCCAGTTAACGCTATCCTTCTTTGGCATTTCACTTGCTTCAAGGCTTGGGTTACATCAGCTCTCGTATTTTTAATCACATGGGCCTCATCACAAACAAGTATATCAGGTCCATCCTGATAATTGAAATGCAAACTACATTAAGCGAATGATAGTAAGAAATGTAGATGGGAAAACATTTTTTGTCAGAAGACGTACCAAATTGATAATAATATAATAATTAAAACACACACCACTACTTCACATGGGAAAGGGTACATATATACAACTAAAATAAGTGTACCAACATATATATACATATATGTATATATTGCACGTTAACAAGAACACTGGTTCAACTTAGAGACATGGATGTTAAAAATACACTTGGTAAAAAGGAGACACTCTCATCACTACAGCATATGACCTCTCTAATGTAGCAGAACCGAAAATACAACAAAACAGCAATGTAGATCTCACCATCAAGAATTCAAGATTTTCAAAGATACAAGTTTTTCCCCTTAACGATTTGAGACTTTGGGTATTACAACACATCTATAGGTTGCAAACTGACAAAGAAACACCATGACAAGTAACTATTGAAAGTTTAACTCAAGGATCACAAGTTAGAACCAAAAGGAAAAAAGAAAAAAATGGGAAAGAAAAAAAAAAGATTCAAGTAGAGAAAAGTATTGCAAAATACAAAATATGAAAGAATGTCTTTGAAGACGAGAGAAGATCAACATCAAAAACCTGCAAGGCATAACAAATTTCCCTAGCCATGTTCCGGTCCTTCACATTCTTTCCAAAAGATAAGTTTCGAAAAGCAGCGTAGCCAATCAAGAATACACCGCCCTTAGCTCTCCATTTTGCAAGTAATTCTCCTCTTCTCTCCCTGGAAAAAAGGAAATCATGTCCCTGACACATTAGAGAAGACAAGAATAGGGGTGAAAGCAATAAACTCAAAAAGAAAGTAAAAATGGAATCATTTTTTTTTTCATTATCACTTCTGCGTTCTTGAATATGTATCCACGTGAACCCGAAAAAAGAGAATAATAGAATGGTAATAAAATAGAAAATTATCTGCAGTCATTCAACACACACAAAAAAAATAAAAAAAGAAGCATATAATTTCATCTAAATAGGACCTATAAATTGAGTGTAACCTCCATTTTAATTCAAGTGTTGTGTAGCATGTATAAGTAAGTTCTAGTAGCTGTAGTTTAGGCATTATAGTTTACTGAGCAAGTCAAACCATGCAATATTCGACGAAAAAAGGGGGAAGGGAATGTCAAACCAGGATACACTTAATGTCATGTAATTAATCAGCCTCAAGTTCTGTTACTATATACTGCTGAAGAGATCATCTCTAGACCAAAACTCTTCATCACGATTAAGATACAAAGTCAAGAGGAAAAATTTTCCATAAAGCAACGATACATTGAAATCCGTAACTGGGCGTACTCCAAAATCTAATACAGACAACAGAAAAATTGCCACAAAGCAAGACTTACTGTAAAGATAAATATATATTCTAGTCTCCAGAAAGAAAAAATAAAGGTAGTATATATTAAAAAATTGATGTATACTTGATCAAACCTTGATACATCTTCTAGCATGAAGACGCGGAGCGGCTTTACTTCTGAAGGTTTCCATTTCAAGAACTCTTTCCTCCAATTATGCAGCACATTCACAGGCACGACAATAAGTACAGTTCTTAATCCCAAATCTACACATCTCATTGCAGTGTACAAAAGAGCTATGACCTGCAAGAGCAGAAAAAACATGCATCACATATTTCTTAAGACACCACCAAATTTATCATAAAATTTCTCATCACGGCCAGTGGCCCGATGGACTAAGTCTAAAACTAATCACACAAATGTCACTTAATCACTATTGTCTCTATAAATTCTGCCATGGCACTATTAGCGTTGTAATTCTTGCTCCAATAATTGTTCATTAATTATATCCATTTCACATACCAGGAAGACATACATGCATAACTACATTTGCTACAAAAATTTACAACGCTAAAGGGAGGATAAAAGTTTCTTACTGATTTAGCATAATACCTGCAAAGTTTTACCAAGGCCCATTGTATGAGCTAGAATGCAACCAAGACCTCTATCACCGGACTTCACTTTTCTGACTGACTGTATAATATTTTCCCACATAAATCTTATCCCAGCAATCTGGAAAAAATAAATAAATAAATAAATAAAATTAAAAAATATATATCAAGAGAACACATTTTCGTGACAAATTTATCAACTATGACGGAGATCAAGATTAAATCGTACAAAAGTACACATACATTCACTCTACATACTGGTAATCCTATTGGAGGTGGCAATGACAAAGGTCTAGGTATGGAAAAAAGGCATGAAAACCATATCTTCAGAAATGGAGGCCCTTTGCCACAACTTCCTTCCAATCTATATCTCCACTTGTATGGTCCCATGCCATTACTAAGATAACTTCACTTTAAAGCAAAAATGTGCTCTAAACAGTAAGGCTGGGACCCAGGAAGAATGCAGCATTCATGCCAGGCTAACATGAAATGCAACATTTTAAAAAAGATAAAATAAAGAAAAAGCCTAAGGACTTGTAGGTCCAAGTGCAGAAGTCCAATACTTGAAGAGATAACTAAACAAAAAGTGTGATGGCAGACTAGGACCATATACAATTTGCCGCACACAGGTCTAGGGCCAAGGCCCTGCCTTGAAGGGACTCATACTGAGTCTTGACACTATTTTTCAAAAGGGACCTACGAGCTGATTCAGCTGAATGAATAATAAACCAAATATATTAATGTAATTAAGATGCTGACATCACAAGAAGGTTCTTACACACCAACCAGATCATTCAATGAAAGGGATACTCTGCCCGAAAAGTAAATTGGCACGAGCAATAATCAAGAAAAGATTCATACACATTGAAGAACGGAAAGGAAAAACCTGATGGACTTTCAGTTTTGCCGAAATGCTTGGAGGAATTCTGACAGCTTCTTCACCTTTCTCCCTCACAACATTCACAATATAACCCTTTGACGCATCACCAAGTACTTCAGTGCTAGCATCTTCTGATAAATTCCCATTAAAGCCTGCAGAGCTCATAACCTTGGATCCGGAAGAAAACTGCACCTGCAAAGACTTCAAGCGTTCTTGACGTTCCTGCAAAAGTGGGAAAACGGCATTTGTTTTTAGTATGAAAGTCCAGACTGCAGGCACACATATAGATATGTATATATAGATCAGATATCTTTCACTTTATTATAAAAAGGCAGGGAAAAAAAAAGTGATGAGTACCTTTTCAATCGCAATTTTTCGTTTGGTCTCTTCTCCCAATTCAGCATCATCAAGGATCCTTCGAATTTTCTTCTTTCTTTTTCTCTTAGAGCTGACAGAAGATAGCTCAAGCATTAGAATGAGTCGTATAAGTAAAGCCTATTAGTTCTTATCACAATTGCATAAATACAAGAGAACTGCAAAGCTTACGAATAGTTTTTTGAAAAGTGAAAAAAGACATCATTAAAATAAATCAACAATGCTTCCTTGAAGTGAAATAGTACCAGAAATAATAATCTTCTATTATGTAAAGATAACGGCAAATTTATGTATACTTTTGCCTTTTAGGGTATCCCATAAAATAAAAAATAAAGACTTATTCCCAGAGACTTCCAAATTCAATAAAGCTAAATCAGATTCTTGTGTTGAATCAGGAACACTATGTCTATATGCCGTAGAATAGACATGGGTGGGTACATATGCCACGAATTCTGTATATATCTAGCATTTGGAAAATAAAAACATTCCCTCTCCAAGAAATATGCAAGAGGAAAATAAGAAAGCAGAGACTATCAACTTGGAGAACGCAATCTGATATTTGATAGCATTATACCTGAGAGCAACATCCACGTCTGCATCAGAATTGTCTGAATCACTTTCGGAGCTAGAATCAATCGATCTTTCAACAACCATTGCCTTCTCGAGTTCTAATGTCAACTTTTGCAGAAGACCTGGTCGACAACAACAACAACATTGCCAGCTGGCGTTCTGGACCTCAGACAAACATTCTGTACCAATGTTCCCCTTTATACAGATCATACAAAAGAACATCTTGCATGATTTACAATTTACTAAATCAGTGCTTCTTCCACACCATCCACAATAACACTCAGCGCAATCAGGATCCTGCACAACTCCTTATGTCAATAAAATCTCTAATATGAAACAAATAATCGGAATGAGCAATGCATAGGGACACTTGGAAGCCAAGAGAGCAGTTTAATTGCAAAACAAAAAAAGAAAACCATCAAAAATTACAAAAGCACCATTCATTTGCATTCTCTCTTTGTTATTATTATCTGGAAAAAAGTATATAAGATGTCCTCAACCTGTTGATAGGTCTTAGTAGAAAAAACAGATATTTAAAAAAGCGAAGCCAACAACTAAATATGAAGTTAAGTGCACAAAATACACAGCTTTTGTTTTTTTGTTTTTTGTTTTGCTTTGTTTTGGTTTTTTTTTTCCCTTTTTTTTTTGCAAGAACAAGAAGCAAATGCAGATCACGTGCAGATAAATAGATTGAAAGTATATTAACGTCTGTAGAGCCAGATTTACCTATCAGCTGCCAAGTAAGATGTATTCATGTCGTACGCGAAATATCAAGTGGCTACTATAATGAAGTAGCCAACTATCAAATTTAGTGATTGGCATAGGAGTTATATGTACTTACCATAACCCTCATCTTTTCTTCCATTATGGCTTTGCAATCAGCACAAACGATCACTTTCAGAAGTGGATGCGGGTGCACCTTAACAGCAATCTTATTACAAGCAGTACAGTGAAACTTTTCATTCAGATTATCAGCTCCAAATTCACCAGCATTTTCCTTCAAATCTGCTTGATCCTCTACTTTAACTGTAGATTCATCGTCATTGTCACGTACAACAGTTCGACTTCTCTTATTCTCAATATCTGGTTCCTCAGTCTCAAGCTTGTGCTTGGACCCTCTGGGTTCATTGGAATCAGGCAAAGCAGACTCAGGAGGTAGAAAAGTGCCATTACTCATTGAGATTCCCTTGTCTACATTGGATGTTTCAAAACCATCAGGAAAATCAGTTTTTGAATTATGGCAAGCAATTCCGCTCTCATTGTCATTTGGAACCGAGGCAGAACAGCCAACTAGAGCCGGGGACTTGTTTATGTCACTTTCTATCAGCTCATCAACTAAACCAAAATCTTTTCGGCTAAATCCCTGATTCAAACAAGGAAGAATATCAAAACCGGTATGATTACTTTATAATAGCCTTACCCATATGCTGAGCGTCATTGTCTACTCTTAACATTTTTACTTCATTTATGATATTATAAATAATATTCAATTCAAACAAAGTTGATGATGTACTTCAAAAAAGTTGAAAATGAAAAAAGAAAAATGCCATTCCATAGAATCGACCAATAATCATAATACAGAATGTTTAGTTCAGCACACAAAAAGTAGGAATAAAATATTCTGGAAACTGCAAACAACCAAAGATTCTGGCAACTCTAAACAACCAACTGAAGGCAACACCGAGAACAATAATTCTGATGGTTGAAACTCCCACTAGATGCGAGTCTCTATACACTTAATCACAACTATAAAGGCTAGAATGCCTCCACATACACATACAAAAGAACAGGGGCAAAAAAGGAGAAATCCAACACACACAGACCTGTTTACGGCTCTTCCTATATCTCCTCCGTTTCAAATGTTTTTGAAGCTTCCGGTCAAAATTTGCATCATCTTCTTCTTTGACCTGTCCACAAATATTATGTCAACTATATTACCTAAATAAAAACTCAAGCCACTATCATGTGCATGGTGATTGATTCATGATTAAATAAAAAAAAAAAAGTTTCCAAATCCCAGAACAGAATGCCCATATATCTCTGATTTCCTGCCAATATGAAATTAAATACATATTATGCAATGCATGCATGAAAACAATAATGTCACTAATTTGTTAAACCGACTGATCACAGACAACAGTAAGAAATACCATTAAGTAAATTCAGTCAATAGCCGCTTTTTATATAGTTGCTGAAAAAAGGTAAAAACAAACTCCATCATAGGGTTGAACATGGCTATATAGGATTGGGTCCGGAAATAAGAGAAGATATTTGGGAAAAGTTGCTGATCTGGCAGTTCTGTCGGAGGTTTAACTGGAGAAAAACCGTAGAAATTTTAAGGCGTGTGAGGCGGAGTGTTGTTTTATGAGACCTTATAAAATTTTGAGTTGCTCTTTAGGTCCATTGAGATAAGGAATTTAGTAGTATATTGTTTTCTGATCTTGTTAAGACTGGGTTTCTATTTTGTAACGTTCTTGTTTTCATGAGGAAATCGCTTCCTCTTCATCTCTTGTATGTAACTCACTAAGTATTAATAAGAGATCACTGTTTTTCTGTTCCCAAAAAAAAAAAAAAAAAGCATAGCTATAAACTTTAACATTACATGCTAATACGACAATACAATATATCAAATGCCTCTATTGCATAAAAGTTTACACCATTCTGATTATGCAAGCAACATCAAAGGTCACATAGACAACTCAAAATCTATGTATCGAAATATTGAAGAATATGACAGTGACTGCCACATCTGGACCGCACTGAAAAATGTAAAGTTCCAACTAGCAATAAGAAAACTGCATAACCTTCCTATAATTTTTGTTCTGTTCTTCAGAAAGAGCAAGTTCTTTTTCATTTGCAACAGCAGCTGCAACAAATGGATCAGTGGAATCGCCATCAATATCATCAATCTCCTCTACCTGGTAGAAGTGGTCAATTTGCAGATGACAATATGTACAGAATTAAGTTAGGCTACATCTTTTTCAAAAGAATTAGCCAACATGTGCTTCAAGGTAACATTAGCAAAAGATAACATTTATAAGATAACTAGTTAAACGTGTACAAATATGGGCACCTCATTAACACCAGGAAATTTGAGACCCATTTCTGCAGCTTGTTGTGGCGTACTGGCCAAGTAAACAGAAGCCCAACTCTTGCTTCCAAATGAAGCACAGTCCTTAGAGGTCCCTTCGGAAAATAATTTGTTCAGAGAACTCCAATCAACTTCTGAATTGTCTGTTACATCGTCGTTGCTCCCATCTACAGTTAATTTCTTCTGCAAAAACCCACTAGCACCCTCCTCCAATAGCTTACCATGTCGTCTGAGCCCACACACAAATATATGTATATTAATTAGGGTCATAGGCGTAGCTCCCTGATCCACAATATATGAGAGAAATATACCTTCTTACAGGTCTGTGGCTTTGCAAAAACTCCTCAGCATGAGCTTTTGACTCGGTGAGATCACAAGTCACCTGAGATCCTATCCAGTGTATCCGTTTTTGCCAAGCGTCAGTGCTGCAGCTAGTAGGAGCCTGACTTTCAATCCACTTATAAAGGCTTGGTAGCTCAATGCCAGCACCATCAAGTTGTTCCTTTTAAAAAAAGGGGGAGAGAAAAGTGAAATATTAAAAACAATCAAACAGCAAACTGCTAACACAAACACATTGAGGAAGCAAATATTGTCAAGTTCTATCTCCAACAGTTTTGCTCTGTCTCACGTCAAACAAGTTTTGAAGTTGGACATGTAAGTGTATCTTACATGCGGTGTACACTGGAAAATTTATATATAGATCAACAAAATAAGGTAATAATAACACACAGAGTTTTGTAGGCTAACCATATAAGTAAGCAATAAATTAGGCAAACCAACATAATAAATTAGTAATAAAAAAGGGAAAAAGATATGCTAATTGACAAAGTAGAGAACCCTGCTTTAAAGGAAGTGATTTTTTTCCCTTGTTTTTCATTTTAATGTTGGTGACTGAAACAAATTTCACATAAATTCTGTGCAAGCATCTAAAGTAATTAAAAACCAAAAGTTCAACTCAAAATTGAAGAAAGTAGCAGACCTGTAAATGAGCACTCTCAGTCTCAAGCTTGTCGAGAAGAGCTTCCCACTCTTCTATAAAAGTAGCCATTTCATCTGCAACAGCTGTTTCCAACTATAGACAGGTAAAAAATACATAAGTGATGCATAAGGCCCTAAAAATAAAAGGTACGATTTTGAAAGCAGAAACTAACTTCATCACCGTTCAGAGTTTGTGCCAGTTCCTCTCTAACTTCACCCTCTACTTTGGCAAGAGACTCCTTCTCAAGTGTTTCTTGAGCCTCTGCAGCCTAAGTTAAAAACTCAAACATACGGCTTATACCATATCTATAAACAAATTAATTGTGCACATCTGTTAAATGGAAAGCTAAATTCAACAGAGAAATAGGATGATACCTTACTCTCAACTTCCAAGAGCTCAGCGATAATCTCCTCTATTTCTTCCTCAGCTAAAGGTGCCTGCACAATGTAAAAGCTAATATAATTCAAATTCTAAGCATCAAACATATAAATAACCATAATCTATGCTGTTCAGCCAAAGAAAAAAACAAACTATAATCTATGTGAAGAGAACTATCTATGCCCTAAGTTTCAGAGTTGCCGTAACTGTTCTGATAAACAGTAATATATATATATATATATATATATATTTCAGCGGTTTTCAATAGGTTTCCTTTCTAAATCGAAAACCATAAACAACCATCAAAAGTTATATTGATACTCTCTGAATTCAAATATACTTTATTGAGAGTCGTTCTGAGTAAAGTTTTTGTAAACCTTATCGATTGAACTATTTTTTTCCCTATTTTTCACTCGATATGCTTTAGTTATAAATATACACTATGAAATAAATAATTATAATAATAACAAAAAAAAGGTGTGCAAAAACTTGCCTCCATCTGCAACTCATCGTCATCCCGGCCCGATGTGGATGGTCCATCATCTTCCGAGTCATCAATAAAAGAATCACTAGAAGAGTCCCCAACATCTTCTACATCCTCGTGATTTTCCTCCATCTTTTTAATTCAAATAATACCGAACACTAGTTCCAAGCCTCCAACAAGACACCTAAACAACAAACCCAGTACACCAGTGCAAAACAACCGATCAGTGAAAACTTTTCATTTCAATGCGCCAATGAAAGAGAAGGAAAAAAAAATGCACTGCACTAGTAATTCAATGCTTGCTTTATTTAGAAGTACACGATTTAGGCTTCTTGTCACCATCAATACCAAAAAATGGATAAAATTTGAAATAAAAACTAAATCTTTCAAAATGTAATTCCTAATTCAGAAATCAGCGTTGCGTTCACTGCTCAAGTTTCATATACAGTTTATCGGATTCCACAAAAAATGCCGACGATTCACAACACTCCGATCATTTTAAACCTTCAGAAAGTCTACATTTCTCAATGCATCAAAAACCGGATTAGGACAAAAACCATGTTCGAGAAAAAACTAAACCGAACTAAAGTAGAAACAAACCAAAAACTTTTCAGCTTCCGCAACGTCGCGGTCGTCGAAAGAACGAAATTCTAGGGTTTACAGATAGAAACAGAAATGGCTAAACGTAGTGAAAAAGAAGAAGAAGAAGAAGAAGAAGAAGAAGAAGAAGAAGAATTGAGAAGACCTACAGTATCAACAGACAAGAGGAAGCATCAGATGAATGGCGCAGAAGCCCCTGTGGTTTTTTTTTTTTTTTTTCTCTCTTTTTACTTTCCCTCCCAATTCTCTCTCTCTCCCTCCTCTTTTTCTGTGTGTGTGCCTGCAGAAAATGCCCAGTCTGCTTTTATTTGAATGGACTCGGGTTTCTGGTATCAACCCACAATTACTGTTGCTGGTTGGATCAACCGCGTGTTCTTCACTTCTTCTCCTTCTTCCTCATTATTTTTTATGTTTTTTTTTTTTTTGCCTGCGAATTTCTTAAATGACATCCTTAACGTCGCTACTATTACATTAATAACCATATTTTTTTTTAAGAATAACGCTGTCAGCATTTAAACTCTTTAAATTTTAATTAAATTTTAACTAAAATAATTAAAAAATTATTTTAATTAATAATTTTTTAAAAACCAATATAATCATACTCCTTATTTTAATTAAATATAAATTATTTTAATATTTATTAAATATAATATATAAAAAATTTTATTAAATTTATAAAAGAATCTTTACTTTTATTACGGTTAAAATAATAAAAAATAATTCAAGTAAAATAGTTAGTTACTATATACTAGTTATATTTAGTTAGTGTAGAATGTATTTTCTAAAATAACTAACCATTTAGCGAATGGTTAGAGTGGATAAAAGTTTTTTTTTTTTAAAGCTAAATCATTAATTATTTTGGTTAAAAATATGTGAATGTTTGGTTGATAGATTCAGAATTATTTTTGATTTACGTATGTTTTTTGTGAGATAAAATACTGTAGCGAACCACGAACCATGATTCGAATCATGGCATGAATCTAACAACCAAACAACCTTAGCATGGCTAGCATGGTTGGAGTTACTATAAGGGTATCTTAACTTGAGTTGTGTATGTGAGAGAAAAAATATTGTAATAAAAAAGTAAAATTTAAATTTTTATAAGAGAAAATACTATAACAATAAAACTTGAGTTGTAAAAAGAGCAAGCCTAAACTTTTTGTTTGCTTCACATGGGGTTCGAACTGTGTGGTTTTAAACTTGGATTTAAAATGGCTTTAGATATATAGAGTCTGAATAGATAATAAAATATCATATCATGCTGCTTTGATGGATTGATAAATGTAAAAAGATAAAAAACAAAATAAAGTTATAATTTTATTATAATAAATAGGTTCAAATCATGTGAACTTAAAGTACATTGCACCCTGAACAACATTTTAAACTACACTCATAAGTTTAAGCCTCATCAACCTATAAACTGAACATTTTCATGTAATATACTCGGATGCTAACTCCTTAAACTTGTCGTTAATTCGAGTTAATTAGGTGTTATGCCACTTCTAAACCTCAGTTCTCCATATTCTGATACAGATTCAATAAAGTTTAAGGACAATTTTACCCTTCTTTTTACTTAGTATATTTTCCTATTTTCTTGTATATCTTGTCACAGCAACACATACCATTCTCTAAGGTTCCGTTCATTTCACCGATTCGAGTTTTATTACAGTAAAAGGCTCTCAGAAACAGTCACATCTAACTTTTTTGTTACAGTAAAAAACTCTCACATAAAGTCACATCTCAACTCGAATTAAAAACTCGAATCAACGAACTGAACGGCCCCTAATATCTTCTTCTCCCTATTTCTTTATATTCTCTGACTAAGTCGTCAGACCATCACGAATGTTGTTATTGCGCGATCTCTCCTTGTGCGATGCCCAATCCCTCCCCTTTTCTTGTCATTTAAGCACATGTTTTCCATGCGAAGCTGTCACGCTGCCTCGTGCCAATTCGCAAACATTGGCTAAAGCGAACAAGGAGAAATCGTCCACCGTCTAGATCTCTATACTTGTTGATTCATATGAACTTGTATTTGGATCCGTGATGTTTCGAGACGAGTAGAGATTGTAAATCTCCACTTCAGTGAGGCTCGGTGGTCACGGCGTCATCATGAGGGGCCACCTCCACATGTTTCCAATCGTTTTCTTGATCATCAATCAACGAAGAGCTCATCTCTTTGCCTGACGAACGAGATCTCTGCAAATCTCCCCATCACTGATCATCATTATCATTAATATGGATCTCCTTGGCGCTGATGCCTTTACTAGATTTTCGTTGTCCATGCCGTCTTTGCCCGATCTAGACACTGCCACTACACCATTTGAGTTATTTGTGTTTGTGTTTGTGTGTGTGTTTTTTTTCTCTTTTGTGTAAGTTTGTTTTTGTTGTTTACTTGTTATGTTGTAATGTTTAAGGTTTTTTTTTAGTAAATCAATGATAAACCAGTTTTAATATTCGATAAACTATATATGACACTTTTGTTTAGTATATCATTGACGTTTATCAATGATTAATTCTAATGTATTGCCAATAAAACTATATCTAATTTAGCTTATATTCTTTTCACAACTTAAATAATAACTCAAGTTCTTTTATTACAATGTTCTCTTACAAAAATTTAAATTCATTTTTTTACAACGTTTTCTCTCACATAAAAAAATTTGAGTTGTGAAAATAACACATTGTTAACTTTTATCTATTAATAAACATAAATGGAGTTTATCAGTGATAAATTATACATAATTTGATATGATGAATGTTGATATCTTTATTCTTTTTACTTGTTTTATTGTCGTTTGATCTCGTGCCCTCTCTCGTGTGATGCCAAAACTATACGGTTAAATCTCATAAACATTGGGGATTAGCAAAAAAAATAAACTAGTTTAGGGTCAATTTTGTCTTTTTATTCTTTGAGAACGTAATGTTGGTGAATTCAGGTCTCATCATTTCACAAATTCAAGTTTTTAATTTCAATTTTACTACAGTTAAAAGCTTTTATAAAAAATCACATTTAACTTTTTATGATACAGTTAAAACTCTCACATAAAATCACATCTCAATTCAAATTAAAAACTAAAATCAGCAAACCGAATGAGCGTTCAGTGTTTGTTTATGGTTGAATAATCTTAATGGTAATTCGCGACAATTTTAAAGTGTGTATCCTTATTCAAAAAAGAAAAACTATATTGGCGGGGCATTGCCTAGTAGACTAGTCCCATTGAAAGAGAACCCCGTATCCAATAATTCCTACGTTCGGGACCCTTTTGAAAAACAATCTTAAATTGGTCATTTTTTTAAGCAACTAGCACCTAAAGTAGTTTCAAATAAATAACCCCCTCATTTAATGAAACTTTTGGCACCGTTCATTCTACTGATTTGAGTTTTCAGTTTCAGATTTTTACAGTAAAAAATTCTTAAAAAATGTCACATCAAACTTTTTTTTGTTACAGTGAAAAACTCTAAAAAAATGTCAAATCTCAACTCGAATCCACAAAGCGAACGAGGCCATGTGTTTTTCAAAATGCCCTTTTATCATAAAAAACAAAATTCTAATTTAAGAAAATAAAAAATGAAAAAGTCATCATATTCTCCAAAAAAAAAAATAATAATAAAGAAACCCACCGCCTAACACTTCCCCAATCGTCGGTGCCGCCCCCCACCGCTAGTGACACCCTCTGCCCCCACCGCTGGTGATGCCCTCCGTCAACTTCCATCTTCTCCGGCACCCATCTCCGTTCACAATCCGTTGTTGTTCCCAACAATAAGAAGAGGATAACTAAGGGCTTTTGAGATCTTGAAAAGCTTGATAAATCAAGCTCCAAATTTGGTATTTGTCTCAAATTCTCTTTATTTTTTTTCCTTTAAATCGTTGTTTAAAGGGTGGGTATTCATTATTAGTTGTTTAAATTGAAAAACCAACAAGATTGATATCATTTCGTCGATTTTTTTGAGCTTTGAAATCTGGAAACTCGAAGAGAAAACGATTGACAATAATGAGCATATTGTTTACCGGTCAAAAAATTTGCACACCAGTCAGAATTTTACTGGATAAGCGTGATATGCTTTGGTACGTCTGAATGGTACCGATCCGTACATAGTGAGGGCTGATCCGAATGGTCTTCTTACCCACCTGTCAATTTATATTTTCTTATTTCACTATTTTTTTACTTTTTAATTTAATTTTTGACATTTTATAATAATGATATTATTTATTTTATAGGAAAAATCTTGGAATGGTTCAACAATCATCGAAAGGAATCAGTTCTCATATCTTGCTCACAATGCTTAACTCCGTTGGTGGAGAAAGAATTGCATATGAGGTACAAAAAAATAGGACATGCAAATGGAAGCGACTCTGCTAGAGTGCCAGTCAATAACTTATGAAGCAAGCTCAGAAATAACACCCCCTTGAATATTTATGGCTATAATTATGTGTTTTAAGTATGTTTGTATTTCTCACTTTTTGTTGAATATGAGTTAGTTTGATTATTACTATTAATTTGTTTGGAACTTCTTAAGAATGTGCCTTGATTTTATTTGTCATATTAGTTTTGTTTGTCCGTTACTTTAGCAGAAAAAGATCTAGAATAATTAAGAAGGGCTAGCCGGATTGTTTTTACCTTGTAAATTGTACCAATCATAACGGACAGAAATGGCAGAATGATAAATTTCTTAAGGGCTAGCTGGATTGTTCTTACCTTGTAGAATTGTATCGTCAGAAAGGTTAGGAATGACGTAATGATAATTGTGTTTGTTAATTATTTTCTGATTGTTCAGATTGGTACCCGTTAGAATAGTTAGAAATGGTAGTAAGTCATACACAATTTATGATATTTTCTTACCGTTCAAATTGGTACCTGTCAGGACGGTAAGAAATGACAATGAGACAAATACGATTTATGATATTTTCTTACCATTTAGATTGATACCGGTCAGAACGGTAAGAAACGCTAGTAGTATTAGTGTGCTTGGTCTTTTTTTTCTTAGATATAAGACTTGTACCGATCTGCTCAATTAGAACAAGCTATAATTATATTTTTGTCAGATCCAACATATCTGTTTAGAATCATCCACAAGTACGTTCAATCTTGATGAATTATTGCATTATAATTATAAATCATAAACCAAATTATTGGGGCACTATTTGTCAAGTAAACATGGATGGATACGCATAAATGCTCAAACTATTACCAGTGTAACACTAAGTAGGATTAATGTGATTGGTGATTTTTTTTCTTACTGATAAGTTCTGTACTGATCTGCTCGGTTGGAACAAGCTATAATCACTTTGATGCTTTATTTGATTTTTTTCTTTTTATTTTTGTCAGACCCAACATATTCGTTTAGAATCATCCACAATCACGTTCAAACTTTGATGAATTATTTTCGCATTATAATTATAAATCATAAACCGAATTATTGAGGCACTATTGTCAAGTAAATATGGATAGATACCATAAATGCTCAAACTATTACCAATGCAACACTAAGTAGGATTAATGTGCTTGGTGATTTTTTCTCACTGATTAGACCTGTACTGATCTACTCAATTAGAACAAGCTATAATCACTTTGATTGATTTATTTGATTTGTTTTTGTCAGATCCAACATATTCGTTTAGAATCATCCATAAGCACTCTAAAAATTTGATGACTTATTGTTGCATTATAATTATAAATCATAAACCGAATTATTGAGGCACTATTGTTAAATAAATATGGATATGCCTAAATGCTCAAACTATTACTAACGTACACTAAATGCCATTAATTGTTGAAATTTAATTTTGTTTATAGCGATAAATCATAATTTCACATATTTAACTTTTTATTTATATATTTTCGTGATTACCAATGTAAGACTATAACGTAATGTATTTATCTTGCACGGTCAGATCTAGTTAAAAACATTCCGATCGTTTTAAACACTCTATTCATTCTAATCGACACCAGTAAAAGAAGTTAGAAACATTGACACATCACATGTGTCTTGTTAACGTTTCTAACTGTTTGCACCGGTGTCAATCAGAACGGTTAGAAACCCTCATAGATTCTATCTATCTCATTGACATTTCTAATCATTTCTGACCAGTACTAATATGAATAATAAGAAAATATCGTAAATCATATTTTTCTCACTGTCATTTTTAACCGTTCTAACTGGTACCAATCTGAATGGTAAGAAAATATCATAAATTGTGTCTGCCTCGCCTCACTGCCATTTCTGACCACACATTTATCATTGTGTCTTTTTTTACTGTTTCGATCAGTACAAAAATGAAAGGTCAGAACAAAATGTTTCCTAACACGTGTATGCATAAAAACGGAAAATTGAACATAATTAAAGTCTACATTGAATTGAAACTTTAGTTTTACATTAAAAATAAATTATAAAGGTCATAAAAAATAAGTAATGTGATTGAAAACTTAAGCCGTGTTTGGAATTAATCCTATTTTTATTTTTTACGTTTTTCAAGAAAAAAAAGAAAACATTTCTAAGACGGTGTTTAGCACAATAAAGATAAAAAACGGAAATAAAAATAATTTTTTAATTTAGTGTAAAATAATAGAGAAATGAAATCACTTTTCATTTTTTCATGTCTGGAGCAAAAAGAGACATTAATAAATTTTTTTATACTGAAAATAATGTTTTAATAAAACTACTAAATACATTTTTAAAAATAATTTTTATTTGAGATTAAAAATATTTTTATTTTTATTTTTATATAAAAAATAAATAATTTTAAAACGAATTTCAAACACACTCTTAATTTTACATAAAAAAAAAGTTATAAAAGTCATATAAAATCAAAATAAAGTGTGATCATGGAGCCAATCATTATAGTAAATTTCGACCGCCATCTTCTCCCCCCGATAGAATTCGATATAGTCGTCATGTATATATTGTTTCAAACGACATATTTTCCATATCAAACTCAATATGCTTCACTTTGTATACAACAAAATCTCCCCTATTTTAGGTAAGTTGTTTGGTTCATGAATTAGAATTATAAAATTAAAATTATTTTTAATTTATGTATATTTTTTATGAAAAAAAATACTATAATAAACTACGAACCATAATTCAAATCAAAAACCGAATCTCCTCTCCAAACGTCAGTTTCTCCGATTAAAAAAGTCAATTAAATATTGACAATAAGCATTCAAAATACACTTACGTGCCACTTTCCCTCTTATTAATCAGTGGGGGTGGAGTCCCACTTATTCCCTCTAGTTATTTTCTGACCCAGACTCCGGTGGCTTCACATATCGGCGTCGTTGTATTGGCGGGCAACAAGGCCGGTGTGGTCCGCTTTGGCGCCATAAGCAAATCTTTCGGAGTGGATCAAAAGGGGTCAGTCAGAAACAAAAACGGTCAGAAACAGAGATTGGTCGGAAGGAGAAAGGTTCAGTTAGAAATGGTACCGATCAAAAGTGGTGGCCGCCCTCGCAAATCGGAGGTGGGTGGTGTTGGAGTGCCGGGGTGAAAGGCCTGGGGGTGGTGAGGGGCGGAGATGATAGCTTGAGGGTGAGAAGTGGTCTGGCTTTGCCGGAGTAAGGAGGTTATGTTTGAGACCGGAGGGACGGTCGGAGGCCGGAGAGGTGGCGGGGGGCCGAAGAGGCGGTGGAAGCCGGCGACGTTAGCTGCAAAAATGCAAGGTTTTTTTTTTGGGTGTAGGCGCCGTTCTTTCCTCTGGAGAAGGAAAGTTACGTTCCGGTTCTTTCGAATGAGTAAATGAGATTTAACTTTTTTTCATTTTTTTTAAGATAATCAGATTTGTCTTTTTGGTGTTTTTTTTTTTTTTTTAAATTTTAAAACAAGGATAATTTCGTATTTGTATCTAAAATCCGAAAGAAAATAAATAAAAAGAAAATATTTTTTACAAGGGTGCTACCGTGCTATTATTTAGAAGGTGTTTGAATAGGAGGTCACTGATCGAAACAGTCCCTCACGGGAACTCTACCTCGGAACCCTAGAAATGGCCGCTGCTTCCTCGTATACTGCCCCTCCGTAATCTCTTCCTCTCACTCCCATGGACGCCATTCTCGCCTCTCGTCTGCTTCCAAGTCATTTTTCTCCGCTGTTCTCGTCTCCTCATCGAAATCCTTCGCTCCCGCTATCTTTGAGAACTCGCCGTATCAGAATTCAGAGATTGCCTTCGAAATGGCCCAAGTTTCGACCAAAGTTCTCCCCTGTTGGATATAATTTTATTGTATTTAGCTCTCTAGAAGCTTCTAGAAGCTCGCCATGCTCCAAACAAGCACCGAAGGAAGAAGCGGTTGAGCCGGACGGAAGATTGCTCAAATGTATTGCGAAGCGAATCGCATTGGCGTTGTTTTGCTTCGCCATCGGTTTTGCTCCAATTCGGCCGCTTCGCGTCACCGCAGTCGCCGCTCCGGCGGCGGAGGTTTTGGAGAAGAAGGAGAACGAGGAAGCGAGAGAGAAGGAGTCGAAATCGGAGGGTCACGAGTACTCTGATTACACGCGGAGATTACTACAGACGGTGTCGTTTTTGTTGAGAGCGGTGGAAGAAGCCAGGAAGGGAAATGGAGATGTGAAGCAAGTGGAGGAGGCTTTGAAGGCGGTGAAGGCGAAGAAGGCGGAGTTGCAGAATGAGATCGTGGACGGGCTTTACGCGGAGCTGAAGGAATTGAACGGAGAAAAGGAGAGGTTGGAGAAGCGGGCGGATAAGATTGTCGAGGAGGCGACGAAGGTGAAGAAGGAGTACGACATGTCGTCTGGGAGCGCGGACAAAGAGCGAAGGGAAGAGATGGAGAGGTTGGAGGAGAATTTGAAAAGGCTAGATGGGGAGTATAACTGGATATGGGAGAGAGTTGGGGAGATTGAGGATCGGATTTTGAGGAGAGAGACTGTGGCGTTGAGTTTTGGAGCGAGAGAGCTTAGTTTCATTGAGATGGAATGTGAGGAGTTGGTACAATGCTTTACTCGGGAAATGAGAAAAAAGAGTATGGAAAGGTAAGATAGATTGTATTCTGTAGTATGAAAAGATTGCGTTTTTGGCTCTTTTATCTAAATTGGATGCCAAAAACAGAGAAAAGATTGCCATTTTCAATTTCAGATTCTTCCAAACTAACTGCTCTGCATCACCTGTAGTTCTGGTGTATTACATTTGGTTGGTTGCATTCTGTAGTTTGCTTTGGCTCTAAAGTTAGATAACACGATCGAGTGCATTTTGAATTCACTTGGCCCCACAAGTGTTGGGTTTAATATCAAACTTGCTACACGCAATTCTTTGGTAGTGTGCGTCCGTTTCCAACTCATGACTAGAATGCCATGCATGATTTTTAAAGCTTGTAATAGTCTCAACTGCCTTGTTTGAGTTTCAGTTGTTATTTGATTGCAGTGTGCCAAAACCCTCTGTTATAAAGCTTTCTAAATCCGATATTCAGAAAGATTTAGAGAGTGCGCAGAGAAAAAACTTGGAACAGAATATTTTACCAAGTGTTTTGGAAGTTGATGATCTTGGACCTTTCTTTGACAAAGATTCAATTGATTTTGCTGAACGTATAAATCATGTCCTTAAAGACTCAAGGGAGATGCAGAGAAACACAGAGGCTCGCATAAGAAAAAATATGGGGAAGTTTGGTGATGAAAAGCGTTTTGTTGTTGCTACACCAGAAGATGAGGTGTTGAAAGGTTTTCCTGAAGTCGAGTTGAAGTGGATGTTTGGAGACAAAGAAGTTATGGTTCCTAAAGCTATTAGCCTCCACTTGTACCATGGATGGAAGAAATGGCGTGAAGAAGCTAAGGCAGAACTGAAAAGAAGGCTATTAGAAGATGTTGAATTTGGTAAAGAGTATGTGGCAGAGAGAAAGGTGGATTTTTTCTTAGCCATGTTTGTCTCCTCATAAACTTACGAAGATTTATTTGTTTGATAATAATCATCTCTTATACTGTTGCTTCCAGGAACGTATTCTTATGGACCGAGATAGAGTGGTTTCAAAGACTTGGTACAATGAAGAAAAAAATAGGTGGGAGATGGACCCATTGGCGGTTCCTTTTGCCGTCTCAAATAAACTGGTAGAGCATGCCCGAATTAGGCATGATTGGGGAGCCATGTATATTGCAATTAAGGGGGATGACGAAGAATATTACGTTGACATTAAGGTAGTATATTTTTTCTTACTTTCTCCCTGTGAGTTATTTTCTATTAACCTTTAATCCTGCATTCTTATTCCAGGAATTTGAAATGCTTTATGAAGATTTTGGAGGGTTTGATGGGCTGTATACGAAAATGCTTGCCTGCGGTATTCCAACCGCCGTTCACGTGATGTGGATCCCTTTCTCAGAGTTGGATTTTCGCCAACAGTTTCTCTTGACCCTTAGGCTCTCTCAACAATGCTTGAACGCTTTCTGGAACGCTGATACTGTAACATATTCAAGAAAATGGGTTTTGGAGAAATTCAAAAATATAAATGACGACATAATGATGACAATCGTGTTTCCTTTATTGGAGCTTGTGATCCCTTACCCAGTATTGATGCTTAAGCCCATGTCTCTCCACTCTGTCATTAGTTTTGTTCTTGTTGTTATCATTTTTATTGTGAAGTTGAAGCTGTTTTTCTTTCCAGGTAAGAATACAGTTGGGGATGGCATGGCCTGAGGAAACATATCAAGCTGTTGACTCAACATGGTACCTGAAATGGCAATCGGAGGCAGAAAGGAGTTACATATCCAGAAAGAAAGATGGCTTCCAATGGTATTTTTGGTTTCTTATAAGAACCGTTATATACGGGTATATTTTATTTCATGTGTTTCAATTTTTGAAGAGAAGAGTTCCATCACTTCTTGGTTATGGGCCGATACGAAGAGATCCAAGCTTGATGAAGCTGCGGAGAGTGGTACTACTTTGTTCCTTTTCTAGACCCATATTATACTTCATGCTTATGATTCATAGTATTGCATGATTAGGTATGACTTAAGATTCCTTGTCATTTGATTGTCAAACCTGGACAACTGTCAGCCTTTTTTTGCTTGCAAATTTGTAGTTAAGTTCAGGCTTTAATTAAAGTTTAATGTTTGAACCTTTGTCAGAATTCATCACTAAGCTAAGTACGTAAAAAATTGTCTTGGTTTTCATAGCAAAGTTGATCAGATAAAGACTGTTTATAATATGTTTTATCCCATGATTGTTCATCTTTCAACTGATCACATTGTTTTTACTGCTATCTTGCAGAAATACTATAATAATTATAGGAAGAAGAGAATCAAAGGGAAGAGGAAGGCTGGCGTTGATCCTATAACTCGTGCTTTTGACCAAATGAAGGTTCATTCTTGTCACATGAAAGTTTTTCTGTGTATTCATTTTTTTTTTAACGAAGTAAAAGGAGATTCATTTTGCTTTGCAGAGGGTGAAGAATCCACCAATACCTTTAAAGGATTTTGCGAGTATTGATTCTATGAAAGAGGAAATGAATGAAGTTGTAGCATTTCTACAAAATCCTCGTGCCTTTCAAGAGATGGGTGCTCGTGCACCTCGAGTATGTTATTCCAAAGATACTGCATCAATACTGCATTAGCTTTCTGCATCTTTTATTGTACTTAGGACATGTATCGTGGCAAAATATCACTCTTGCTATCTCTTCAAAGAAACTGCAGCATATGCTTAAAAACTTGTGTCATGCACGAAGACATGCAGAGTAATATTCAGAGTTTTGTACATTGGTTATATATATATATATATTTTATGTATTGTGATGTTTATCGGAGTGCTGACTTTGATGAGCGTCTAAAGTAGTTGATGCTTATATTACAGGGAGTGCTTATTGTTGGCGAGAGAGGCACGGGAAAGACATCTCTAGCACTAGCTATAGCAGCAGAAGCTAAGGTTCCTGTTGTTGAAGTTAAAGCACAAGAGTTAGAAGCAGGATTATGGGTTGGACAAAGTGCATCAAATGTTAGAGAGCTATTTCAAACAGCAAGGGATCTGGTTGTCATCTAAACTTTCTTGTTAATGTTCATCTTTCTTCTTATAATATCAGGAATTAAATCATGAGGAGTATGGTAAGGAATTCTGGGTCCAAAACTGAAATTTAGGTCGAGGGCACAAATTTTTGGTAGATAATATGTTATTTATTCTGTAATTTTAAATATTTCAATTATAGATACGAAATTCATTTTTTATTTTAAAAACTTCAATCAATTGCCTGAATAACTTTAAATTTAAGCTTCTTATTAAATTTTTTTAGCACTAAAAACACAGAGGGACTTGAATATAAACATTTTAGCTGTTTCTTATGATAAAGGCATTATCGCAGGCTGATAAACCTTCCTATGAAAAAGGCAGATAAAAATTCAACAACTATCATTATCAATATTTGAATGGGGATCTGGAATGTACACCGAAAGGAACTGACTTTTTATTATATGAAAAAAAGTATCGTCATCTATGGAAATGTATCTTCTTATTTGTTACTTGTCAATACGACAGCTGCTTTGTTCATGTCACCTTTTTTTCTGAGAAATATGTTTGATTTCCAGGCACCTGTAATCTTATTTGTGGAGGATTTCGACCTATTTGCTGGTGTTCGTGGCACCTATATCCACACTAAAAACCAGGATCACGAGTCTTTCATTAATCAACTTCTTGTGGAACTTGATGGGTAACTCCTTGTAGAACTTGTGGTCTCTACGGCTACCTTTTTTCTTGTCCTTTGTGTTGTTCCCAGGCCTCTGTCACTCAGTGTTTGCCCATACTACCTCTCTAAGCTTTCAAGCTGCTGCTTAGTCTTAGAAGCAGATAGTAATAAAACAATCTGCATAGCGTGCCCTATTGATTAGACTTTCTGCAGGTTTGAGAAGCAAGATGGGGTTGTCTTGATGGCTACTACTAGAAATCTCCAACAAGTTGATGAGGCCTTACAGCGTCCTGGACGGATGGATAGAATATTTCATCTTCAAAGGCCAACTCAAGCAGAAAGGGAGAAAATATTGCAAATAGCTGCAAAAGAAACCATGGATAATGAACTAATTGATTTTGTAGACTGGAAAAAGGTAGTTTCCACATTGGTTTCTTAAATGGCTGCTGTTTACAATTCTGTTATCTAGGTTAATGCTCTTGCATTACAGGTAGCATACATATCTTTTGAGTTTTTATTCGTATTCTTATTACCCTCCTTTCTTCTTCTTATTTGGTTTTAATTGTTCTTCTCTGCGTGTTGAACCTCTGTTATGTTTGATTAATCGGCTCCTGATCTCCTTTTGCTTTAGAGGTTTGTACTTGTAAGTAGTTGTGATGGCATGTTGTGGTTCTTTTATAGATGTGCCTTTTCAGCACAACTAGGAGTTCAAAACCCTGACTTGGGATAAGGATCACATTCACAGGTGGAAATTTGAAATTAAAATAACAAATAAAATCCTAAATAACAGGGGAAATAATTCTAAAATTTTTAAACTTAATTTTTTACACCTAGAATAAGTGCATATATTGTTATTGCCATCTCCATCAGTCGTCTACTGAACTTCACTGTGATTTAGTTGGGTTTTTTTTTTTTTTTTTTACATTTCCACAAAATCATGTAGTAATTTGCTCGACACCTGAACCTTCTATGGCTTCAGGTCGCTGAGAAGACAGCTCTTTTACGACCCATAGAATTGAAGCTCGTACCTGTGGCGTTGGAGGGTAGTGCTTTTAGAAGCAAGTTTCTCGATATGGATGAACTTATGAGCTACTGTGGTTGGTTTGCGGTAAGAACCCATGAAAGTGCTCTCTCATTGTCCCTTGAGATTGGAAATTACTTGATGGATTGAATGTAGTTGCAAGCTAGATTCACATGCTTTTTGCAGGTTTTTATTTATTCATCTATTTCTTTTGACAAGATGTTGAAGGATAAATCAGTTCAATGTAATAATCCTTACTTTTGCAGACTTTCAGTGGTTTCATCCCAGGATGGTTGCGGAAAACCAAAATTGTGAAGAAGCTAAGCAAAATGCTGGTGAATCATCTTGGGCTAACATTGACTAAAGAAGATCTGCAAAATGTGGTTGATCTAATGGAACCATATGGACAGATAAGCAATGGAATAGAACTTCTCAACCCGCCTCTTGATGTAAGATGTTATTCTTCTTGATCAAGGTCATAGTATCTACTGCTTGTTTACATGAAAATATTCAAGAAACAATGAATTTTAAATTGGTTTTTCCATGTGCTGGAAACATAGATTCATTTCAAGTATTATGCATTTAGAATTGTGAATTCTTACAAATTTTATAGTTTCACAGTGGACAAGGGAGACCAAGTTTCCACATGCTGTCTGGGCTGCTGGACGTGGCCTGATTGCTCTTCTATTGCCAAACTTTGATGTCGTAGATAATCTATGGCTTGAACCGTTGTCTTGGCAGGTTCGTCAGTTTCATATCTTGAAATGTTTATAGCTTTAGGTATATGTTTTACATGTATTGTTTACAACGCATCTATTAGTTTTGTTATCAAGTCATTTTCCTACTCCAAAAGGTTTTCATCCTGCTTATGAACGGTGAATACCGGCATTGTGCCAAAAATTATTTATCAGTAACACAAGCATACACGTGTACGGAGACCACTCCAAATGTTTAATGTTTATGACTTAAAACTGCCCTTTTTTAAGGCCTCCTTTGAGGTTAAGACTTAAGACCAATTTAATAAAAATGGATTCCTCATGAAGGATCAATAGTCTATTCATTTAAGGCCATGCATTTAGATACAATTTTTCCTGGAATTCAGAACTGCCACCTTGGTGAACTGATGCAAGGCTTGTACTACATTCCTTTGTTTGTTGTTCTTTATCTGGTTATCTAATTCCACATGTCGTTCAAGAACTGCTCTTACCTGTATTTCTTATGACTTCAAAAATGGGTGACAAACGACGAAAACTGCAAAAGGTAGGTCAGCAGACTAAAATCTGAGTTACATCCAAGGAGCACTAATCAACTCCGGCCCTTATTTTACAGGGAATCGGTTGTACAAAGATCACTAAGGCGAGAAATGAAGGTTCCGTGAATGGGAATTCTGAGTCAAGATCATACCTTGAAAAGAAGCTTGTATTTTGTTTTGGTTCACATGTTGCAGCACAAATGCTACTTCCTTTTGGAGAGGAAAACTTCCTGTCTTCTTCAGAACTAAAGCAAGCGCAGGAGGTTGGCATCACACAATGCTTTATGCCATTAATTTGTTGTAAACAGGCAATCTAGCTGGTTTTGTCTATGCACACTAATTTTTCTTAAATATTCCTCGTTTTGCAATTTGAAACAGATTGCTACGAGAATGGTGATTCAGTATGGGTGGGGTCCGGATGATAGTCCCGCGATATATTATCATAGCAATGCGGTATTCTCCTTTCTTTGGATCCAAGAGTGCATCAATTTTGCTGAAAAAAAATAAAGAAGTGAATTATGTGGTATCCTATATTGTATTTGGCGCAGGCTACAGCACTGAGTATGGGGAACAATTATGAGTACGAGATGGCAACAAAAGTTGAAAAGGTAATAACTTGTGGTCACCTTTTAGGTAACTTTTTATTTATTTATTTATTTATTTTTATTTTAATAACCAAAGATCATATCATAAAGAAAACATGATGACTCCCTGCATGACTGGTGTTAGATTTGTCATACATCTTACAGTGATCACCTTTTGGGTTTGTGTAGATGTACGATTTAGCATATTTCAAAGCAAAAGAAATGCTCCAGAAAAATCGTCAGATTCTTGAAAAGATTGCCGAGGAGTTATTAGAGTTTGAAATCTTGACCGGAAAGGTACATAGCAGTATGCTTAGTTTTTTTTTTTTTTTAATCAAACATCTTCCAAGTCTCCATCCATGAATGTTCTTTGACGTCTTCTGTGGAATATTAGAAATTAGAAAAGAGAATTTCTTTTGTTAAAAACGACTACCCTTTTTGTTCATAATCCATTATTTGTGTTGCTAGGATCTGGAAAGAATGCTTGAGGATCATGGTGGGATTGGAGAGACAGAGCCATTTTTCCTTTCTGGAGTTTATGACATGGAGGTATTTTACCACTCTGATAAATTGAAATTTCGATACTCTGTTTATGGTAACTTTTTTGGTCACACCTCTCTTTCTCTTCTTTCAATTTTCTCTTTCCAGCCATTATCTAGCTGCTTTCTTGAAAATGGAAATGCAACGGCAACTACCTTGTTAAGTGGAGCAACGCAAGTCTAGAGACGTGTCCAGCCTTTGAACTAAGTCCGACATTTAGATCGAACAGCTCTGCTCTTTTGATTGTTGATACAATACGGGATCGAACTCGCACCTTCCCAAACCAAGGTCCGCCCAGCTTATCCCATGCCGTATGACAAGTGGTGCCCCAGCTTATCCCATGCCGTATGACCAAGTGGTCATTGGCTAAGGGCTCTGTTTTTTGAAGGGCTGCTTGCATTGATGTTGTTATATGTATTTATTCTTCTCCTTAAGCATATAAGAGATGATGTAAATCAGTTCTAGAGGCAAATAGTTTTGTGTTGAGAAGAGGCATAATTTTTCCTTCTCAACCAACCAATTGTTTATACATGAGTTTCGAAATCCTCTAGCGCGATTAGAAATCATTCTAAAATGTTTTTATTTTTTATATAAAAATGAAAACGTTTTCAATCTTAGACATAAATTATTTTTGAAATTATGTTTGGTAGTTTTATTAAGAGATTATTTTCAGTATAAAAAGATTCATTAATGTCTCTTTCTCTCTGCTCGAAGGAAGAGAAAACGAAAATAAAAAATAAAAAATGATTAAAAATGATTTTTTATTTCTCTTTCATTTTACATTAAATTAAAAAATTATTTTTATTTTTATTTTTTTATTTTTATTGTGTTAAATGTTGTTTTAAAAATATTGGTATTTTCTTTTTCTTGAAGAACGTAAAAAATAAATACATGATTAATTCTAAATATAGCCATGTATTCCCTTTTTCCGAGCGGTGTAATTAGAATCATTAGTAGGATAAAAATTATGGGCAGAAGATTTGTTTAAAATATTTCTCTTCATTTGAGATGATTGAAATCTCAAAATAAGCATTTTTTAATAAAATATTATGGGACTTTGGATTACACGAATACTTGCACGTGCATTTAATTTCAGTGGCGGGTATTATTATTATTATTTCCCCCTGAAAGTCGGTGGTACGACAATCAATAGAAGCGTGAAAAATAGTAAGAAATAGGTTAATATGAAAAGTTTAAGAAATATATAGGTTAATTTTTAGTTATAAAAATTAATATGTCATAACTTGTTAAGTTATGGTTCATAATTAGATAAATTATGGATAAATTTGTCAAGTTATGGTTCATAACCAGATAAGTTATGGATAATAACTTATCAAGTTATGGTTTATAACTAAACAAGTTATGGACGAAAACAGTAATTTGACCTATTTATTAACTTATGTAAACTATTGGCCTATTAATTTTAATTCATCTCAAGTCTTGGCCTATTTTTCTCTTTCTCCCTAGAAGCATTGGCTGATTTCTAGAGCCAGCAATATATTGAATAAAACGTAAAAAATAATGGTGCGTTTTAAAATAATTTTATCTTTAATAAAAAATAAAAATAAGATTGTTTTGAGAATTATTCTGAGATTAATTTTAAAATTGTATTTGATTAATTTTTTAAAAGATTGTTTTAAGTATAATAAAAAAATAAAATCGTGTTTATTAATTGATATATTATAATATTATTGATAAGTATTAAAAAATAAAAACTGAAAATAATTTTTAACTGTTTTTTAATTTTTTTACAAAAATTATTCTCACTATTTTTATTTTTAAACATTTATTATGTTGTTTCATTTTTATTCTCATTTTTTGCTTCTTAAAGTACGTAAAAACCGTTTTAAAAAACGGTTCTAAACGCACACAATACTTTTTTTTTTTCCCTTCGTCTTGCAAACAATGATAATTGATTGGCATAGAATAACTATCTCTCTCCTGTAAGACTCTCTCTCTCTCTTCACAAGTTAAGCCTAGGAAAGTAAACCTTAATGTGAAGGTCGGCTGCAAATAAGCACCACCTTAACTGCATGCCTGTGATATAAACAAAAAAAAATAAGTAGACGTTTGGTTCACAGATTTAGAATTATGATTTAGAATTATTTTCGGTTTACGTGTGTTTTTTGTGAGAAAAAGCACTATAACGAACTACGAACTATGATTCGAATCATGACACGAATCCTCATACCAAACACAATGAAAAGAAGATTTACACATATATATGTATAGAAAAAGATGCTAAAAAATCAAAGCAGCAGCTTGAAGAAATGAACCTACAGGAGGGCTATTATTATTTGCTGGTGAGGTGGTGGTAAAGATGGGCCTCTCTGATCTGCTTGCATTTTGTGTCAAATTCTGGCAAATGCTTTTCCTTCTTGGCTTTGCCTCTCCCAGCATTGTTATTATGTCCCTCATGGATGGCCTGTCCTTGGGGAGTTTTGCCGTACAAAGAAGTGCAATTCTTAGCACAAGAAGCATCTCTTCTTGGATATGCTTGCATTGTCCTGCAATATAAGGGTCCAAAGCTTCTTCTATGGCTTTCTTGTTTCTTATCTTTCTCCTAACCCACTCCACTATGTCCACAGACTCTCCAAATGCAGGGTCTAATGCCGTCTTCCCTGTTAAAAGCTCCAAAAGAACAACTCCATAGCTATATATGTCTGTCTTCTCATCAACTTTCATTGTGTACCCGTATTCTGTTGTTAAAAAGAAAAAATTTGAGATAAACACCACATTAGAAATTACACTATATCTTGACCATATATGCAACAAAAATGAATAGGGATTTGGGAGTAAATGACCGAAGTTTTGTAAAATTAGAAATTTTTATATAACTTTAGTTTATCACCCGTGTCAAATATATAGCGGATTTGGGCGCTCTAGCCAAAACGAATCCTATTTCGGCTATTACCTTCTCCATTACTATGTTCTCATACGCAGGAATACCCCCGTTAGCCGGCTTTTGTAGCAAATTCTATTTGTTCTTCGCCGCTTATTAATTTGATGGTTTATTACTGATTAACTTGATTTATCACCGATTAACCAATTTATCACTGATTGACATGGTTTATCATTAATTAACTACTACAGAAAAACGGTCATTTCCCTAAAAAAAAAGTTGTCATTTGTCTAAAAAATGTAAAGTTCAGCCATTTATTAAAAAAGGTGGACAAAAAACCGGGCATTTGCCTAATTTTCCCTTAAAAGTGATTAAGAAAAGACCAAATTTGCTCGTCTACAACCAGAAATAAGATTTGGAACTTGTAATGAAATCTAATTGACAATGAATTATGGTAGTTACTGACCTGGTGCAATATATCCATAAGATCCAGCTACCATTGAAACAGTCTCATTCTTATGGATCATCATCCTTGCCAATCCAAAATCTGCAACTCTGGCCTCCAGATTTGCATCAAGCAGTATGTTGTTAGACTTGATATCCCTATGGATGACTGGTGGGTGACAATCATGGTGGAGATAATGCAAGCCTTGAGCAACTCCTACCGCAATGTTATAGCGCGAAACCCAGTCGACCAACAACTTTCCTGCTTGACTCCCATGAAGAGCGGTCCCAAGGTTCCCGTTTGGCATGTACTCATAGATCATCATAACATCTGTTTCATTGTGAAGATATCCCAATAACCTCACAATGTTCCTGTGCCTAAGCCTGCCGAGAAGATTAACTTCGCTCAATAGATCGTCGCCTCCTTCGATGTCTGATCCTTCCCTCCACAGCTTCTTCACTGCCACGACTGAATGGGGCCTGTGGATTTCAGCCTTGTAAACCATGCCAGTCCCTCCCATGCCAATGATGTTTGATTCTTTGATACAAGCAAGAATCTCACTGCTTGTGAAGTTCACTCTCTGAAACGCGACTAGTCTCCAAGGCCACTCTTCACTATCCTTCTTAAACAAGTCACTGAAGAAGCTGTTGTACAAGTACCACTTTCTGTACACCCATCTACCCGTAAAAAATGCTAGAGCTAGTGAAGAAATCACTACAATCCCAACGATGAAACCAATAGCGACATGGTTGATGTGCATGTTCCTTGCGTGTCCAGTTGTTGAAGAGGAACTTCTTGTGCATGGTGGAAGTATGCCACCGCAAAGTCCCGGATTGCCTATGAGATCATTGGGATTTATGGTCATTAGGATCCCATTGTGGGGAACTGGACCCTCAAGCTTGTTGTAAGACAAGTTGAGCATTTCCAAGGCTGGTGAGCTTCCAAAGTTTTCGGGTATACGACCAACAAGAGAGTTGTTGGAGAGGTCAAGGATGGCTAATGTGGGCATTGTGGAAAGTGCTTTGGGGATTTCCCCTGTGAAAGAGTTGTTCCTGAGGTTCAAATTCACCAGCTTTTCACAAGAAGCAATGCTCTCTGGGATTTGTCCAGAGAAATGGTTGTTTGAAAGATCAAGCACAGAGAGATAAGGGCAACCTTGGAACTCATCTGGGATTTTACCTTTCAGGTTGTTGTTTGAGGCCATGAAAGTTTGGAGATTTGGAATGGAGAGAAGACTAGAGGGAATAGATGATTCAAGGTGATTCCAAGAGACATCTATAAAAGAAAGCGACGTAGACATAGCAATATCTGCAGGAATATGGCCAGTGAGATTGTTTTTGGCCAATTCCAGCCTTTGAAGAATAGGTAGACTTCCCAGGCCAACTGGGATTGTCCCAGAAATGAGATTGTTTTGAATCCGAACCCTGACCAAGGACAAACAATTTGAAAGGCCTAATGGGATCGAACCAGAAAACGAGTTGTTGAAGAGCATGAGTTTAGTGAGATTGCCAGAGTCGCATAAACCTGGTGGGATCTCACCTGATAATGAGTTTGAAGACACATCTAACCACTGCAATGGAGAGTTCTTTCCAAGGCTCATTGGCAAAGGACCCGTCAAAGAATTCTTCCACAGCTCAAGAACCTCTAACTTTGTCAACTCTCCAAGCTTCTCAGGAACCAAACCGGTTAGATTATTGCACATCAAGTTCAAAAGCTGCAGATTCTTCAACCCTCCAAGCTCTACTGGGATCTCCCCTGAAATCTGGTTATCAGAAAGATCCAAAAACACTACAGATATAATGTTACCAATCTCTGGTGGAATCTTTCCTGTAAAGCTATTTTTAAACAAATAAACTGTGGTGAGTTTCTGCAGCTTGCCTAACTGGGGTGGAATTTGGCCTCTGAGACTCCCAACTGCCAAATCAAGATACTGAAGATTTGTAAGATTTCCAATCTCAGCTGGGATTTCACCTTCAAACTCATTGTATCCAAGAATAATAGTCTCAAGAGATGAAAGTTGGCCAAGCTCTGGTGGGATTCTTCCAGTGAGATTATTACCCGAAAGGCCAAGAAACTTCAACTTTTGCAGGTTCTTGTAGGATAAAGGAATTGAACCTTCAAAGAAGCTCCCTCTGAAATCCAAGCTCTCGAGCGATGTCGCGTTGCCAAGATCCTCAGGAAGGAATCCGGAGAAGTTGTTGCTCGATGCATTGACCAAAGTCAACACCGCAGAACTTCCAAGACCTGTTGGAAACTTGCCAACAAAGTAGTTTTGGCTCACATCAATAGTCCTCAGTGAGGTGAGATTGGACAGAGTTTTCGGCAAGGATGCCTCGAACCCGTTGCAGCAAATGTTGAGAGAAGAGAGGCCGGTCAAGCCTTGAATGTGATCCGACATGCGGCCGCTGAGATTCATGTTGGAGAGATCAAGCTTCTCCACAAAGCCTTTGGAGTTGCACCAAACGCCAGTCCAGTTACAATGAACTAACTCATTCTCAACACTCTTGCTTGGCATTTTCCAGTCTTTGAGGCAGTCCATTGGATCAACCAAAGCTGATTTTATCGACATCAAGATCGAGACTTCTTCATTCGGAGCAGGTTGAGCAAAAACAAGAGAAAAACCAATGTAACAGTAGAAGAACAACAGGGATTTTGGCATTGTGTTGTTCTTCTGAGTCAGTTTTCTCTCAGTTGTGTTTTAGCATTTCTTGGCTATGTATGAAAGACAAAGAAAGGGGAGGGAAAGGAAGATCAGATTAGTTTATAAACTTGTTTGTAATAAGTTATAGGAAATGGAGATTAACTTATTGTAGATACGTGGGTTCTTGGGATCTGAACCAGCTAATCATCTCTACTTAATGACTGTAATGCTTTGGACTTATTGGAGATCTCACAGACAGCAAAGCATGGAGAGAATGTGTTTTCAGTGACTGACTGATGATTATTCTTCTGTTTTACTTATAATTGATCGATGGTCAACTCCAATTGGCATTAACAAATTGGAAATCTCCCACTCACTGATGATTATAATTCCTTGTAATTACACAAATGATTTTAGGTAAGGTTCTTAATGTCTTCACTTTTGGCCAAGAAATCCATTATTTTAACATTCAAGACAGATTGTGATGCCTTGTTCTTAAGGTGGTTTATTCCAAGTTCCTTTTCCCTTTTCCCTTCTCTCTTTTTTTTTCTTTTTTTTTTTCAAAATATAATAATATACTGAAGGTGAAAAATCAGAGAACAATTAAAGGAAACAAGTTTTCGTTATTTTGGGAACACAGTAACTTCAATGGATATAGGTGTTTAGTATAAACCGGCAGTGAATCAACCATTAATCTTATTATCATCATTGTTTTTTATTCTGTAACCAGGTAAGAATTTTAGTTTAAGTTGTTTATTGGGTTAATTTGTACTTATCCAAATAATTAAATGGGCAGATGAGAATCTCTTCATGTTACAAGATGGGATAAAAGATTTGAAACAAGAGACAACTTGGAACTTTCTCTAATAGGGAGGACAAAGAGAAGTTATGTAACAATCATTGTCTTTGCCCTACCAAAAAACTCCATTCCTTGGCCAAAAAAATAATTGCACCCCATTTCTAAGCCTCCATGAATTCACATGCACACATCTGTCCTTTGCAATTATTATTTATTTATTATTATTTTTTTTTTTTTAAAAAGAGCATTCAATATGAATGTGGATATTAATATTAGATGCCCTACCAAGTGTAATAATTCAAAGCAATAAAAGAGGAGGTGAAGGGGCTGGAGGCCATGTGAAAGGGCAGCTTCCTTGGGAAAGGACTCAAAATTAGTCCCATTATTAATAAGGACACCTTCAAATTGGAATAAGAAGTGACTACAAAATTAGCCATTTTATGGCCCCTATTATTATACATATATATGTATCTTTTGCCATACTTTTGTGACCCATTAGAGAGAATCCATAGAGCATGTGGATTAGATGCCCCCACATGGCTTTATGCCAAAGCCACCTCTACACATTTAATCGTTTCTTCATCATTGGAGATTGATGGAGGAATCAAATTGTGGGCAGCATATGCATTTGATGATGATTTTTTTATTTTATTTTTTTATTTTGGTTGTAATAGCTCCTCCGCAACTATTTGTAAGTTTCATCAATTATCATAATAAGCAAATTAAGAATTGTTAATAAGATCGTTTTGTGATTACTCGATGGTGATAGATTAAGGAAGGTGAGAGTAGTGTCAGAAGTTAGAACTAAAGTCTCAATTGCCGATTGAGAGTGTTAGAAAACACTAAATAATTAAATTACTATAGCAACAAATTTATAATTTAGTTCCTTAAATTTTCTTCACGTATCAACAGATTATGATATAATTTCAATCACTTCTTTCTACGTGGTATTTGCTAATGTTCTCTAAATTTGGTACTTCTTTTGATAAACTTCTCCCAAAAGCTCTTTTTTTTAAAAAAAAAATTAAAATTTTTCAATAGAAAGGAGGTAGAAAGGCTACGGAATCACATGTAGCTACAAATATGATAGAAAAATACTTAAGAGCATCACCAGTGCTAAGCACCAAATCGAAAGTGAGTCCCACATGTGGGTCTCATACCGCGAGACCCACCTTCTATTAGTAGATAATACTAAACAACACCAGTGTCCTATAACGCTTTACGGGATATGCGTTCTACTTCCTATTAAGCACAAAAGGACAAATACCCCTCAACCATTGTCGTCCCTATGTCACTTTTTCTTTGATGATTGTCATTTCAGCGTGCCTCGACGATTGTCATCTCTGCTCAAGTCTTTCTCTTAAAACGTATCTTCCCATCACCCATATGGATTCATTCCATCACAAATCGAAAATTAGAATCTTCAATTGAAGCTCCATCTTGCAGGGAAGTATTAGAAAAAAATTAAGTCCTCATATATAATTACCTTTATTAAGAGTTTAAACTTTATTCATATTCATTTTTTATATTTGAAGTCTCTTGATTATTGGAGATTTAATAGCATTAGATAACTTAATTGAGTATGTTATTATAATTTGTAATTTTATAAAAAGAGATCATACTTTACGATACGTGGTAAGTTAGAATTGCTTTTCTTTTTATTTGATTTGGATAATTAAATGTGGATTGTCGTAACCAAACGGTCCGAATACATGATAAGAAAAGAAAACCATCAACACTTCGAATTTGTAAATGGTAGTCATGTCAATAGAAACAACACACAAAATAATAGACGACAAGAACTAAGCCAGGGAAGAAAAAGATGATAATCTAAATAGACGATTGCAATGTGAAAGGACACTTAGGGGTTGTTTAGTTGAGGGATTCATCCCCCGATTCGAATCATGATTCATGATTCGTTACAGTATTTTCTCTCAAAAAAATACACGTAAATCGAAAATGGTTCTAATCTTATGATTCTAATCTATGAACCAAACGCCTCCTTAAGCATATATTAAACGACAAAAAGGGAAAATTTGAAAGCGACACCAAAAAGAGCAGCCGACAATAAAATACAAGGCTGCAGTGCAAAAAAACGACAAATACAAAGTTAAAATGACACCGAATTATTAGGAGATGACCGAAAACAACAGGGAACTAAGAACAAGATGGGATAAACAAGGACACAGTTATAAAACAAAAAATAAAGAACAACACCAAACGACAAAAACGCAATATTATGTTACGACACAGTGGTAGACAAGTCGGCATATAAAAAATAGAAGATGACATAATTATTTATTTAAAAAAAAATTGACATCAAGCGACAACTGAATGAAAACAAAGACAGTTAAAAATAACAATTTAAAAGAAGTAAAAATCGTGAAAACGACTCACAAATGAAAAATCACTGGAAATTATAACACGACAAGAATTTAAAGGAACGACCATGATGTGAAAACAGCAAAGTGAAACGCACTGATAAAATAATGAAACGGTAACGCATCACTAAAATTGAACATGAGAAAACATTGAAGGCGACTAAAAAAAGATTCAAGAAAATGACGTAATTAAAGAAGAAACGACAGTGACACGAAAAGCCAAAAGAAATATAGAAATGACAGAAAAGTCAAAAAAACGATATCAAATCCTAAAACATCACTGACTTCTGGAAACGTCAGAGACGCACGATGAAATAACAACGAAAAGTTAAAAACCTTAGAGGATTTATTTTATGTATTCGTCTATGATTCGGAATCACGATTCATAATTTTTTACAGAATTTTTCTTTCATAAAAAATATACTTAAAACGAGAATAGTTTTAAATCATGATTCTGAATTTATAAACCAAACGTCCACTTAATTCTTTCTGTAACAAGAAAGAATAAAAAAATAATAACAATGAAACGGAAAACACAACAACTTAAGCAACTCAAACTAGTTTCATTCTTTCTCTATTTTATATTTATCCCAAGTGATCACGAAGGGAATTAAAGTAGATTTAGTTCCAAAGAACGCATTCCTACAAATTTGCATGAGCCTAAACCCTATCATATGCTCATCCATGAACTTCGCCTTTATATTATTACGTCTTTGAGGAAGTTCATAAACTTTTTAGTCTACACTCAATACTGATGGAAGACATGGTACTTTTGGGCGTTTCATGATCACACCATTGGCGTGGGACTAGGAGGTATTCTGGAAGATTCACGAGTGCCTAAGTTAAAAGGTTGACGGTTGACCAGATTTAAAAAAAAAAAAAAAAAAAAAAAGTCCCCCAATCCCACATCCATTAGAAAAATATTTTAAACAGTACCGGTATTAAACATCATTATTAATAAAAAGTGGACTCAAATACCCCATATTATAAAACTCACTTTTTATTAATAACTAATAAATGATGCCGAACACTACTGGTGTCTCACAGTATATTATTCTAGGGGAAATAATAATATACATATATATAATTTTTTGCGGCAGCGAGGCCTGAAACAGGAAACAAATTAAAAAGATAAGACAAAATAACAATAAACGACAATAACCTAAATAGATGACAAATGAAATGAAAACGACAACTATGATAAAATGACAACGAAAATCAATGATATGTAGAAACTGAAAACGACAACAAAATGAAAAGGGCACTGAACTAGATTATAAACAAGGAAAATAGAGAAAAGACAATAAATGATAATAAATAGAAACGAAAATTGCCCAAATAACGGTAACGAAATGGAAACAATAGTATAAACGATAATAACAAAATAAAAAGGGCGATAAGATTAAAATAAAAGTAAAAGTAAATTACAATAAACGACTAGCAACAATAATGAATAAACGAGAGCCAAATTGAATAACGGCGACGTAATAAGTGTAAGAACAAACGACATCTAAATAATAAACGACGACCACATTGAGTAACGACGACACAAATGAAGCGGCGACAATGTTGAAACGAGATGAAAAATAAACAACAACAGACAAAAACAGACAATGGAATGAAAAACGAAGACAACGTGAAAAATATATAAATCAAATAACATTATTATTACTTTTTTGCTGAAAATCTTTATTACTATTTGCAATGTGAATGGACTTCCAAAATTACCCCTTCACGACGAGAATTATAACCCAGTACTAGACAAGAACCACACTCTAGGGTTAAAAATAAAATCGTGAAAAGTTCAGATCATTTCCCGTCGTTTCTGGAAAAAGATC